AAAAGCAGGATGTTAAAACCCATTTCATATTGACAGGTGTTAGGAAATTGAATTGAAATGAAATGTAGGTTTACATCTTATTGATCTGCACCGACTGGGCATTTCAAGACGGACAAACGCAATTCAATGTGCTGTGAGAGAAATTTGCCCAGACAGTGGCGCTATGGCCTACTCTTATATCGAATTCATCTGTCAAGGGATCTTTTACGTGCACGCCAATGTGTACACGGGACCTTGGTTTCTCGTTCCACTCGACAAAGGAAGGCCACACTGAATAATCCGAGGAACTTTCTCGGTCAACACCGGGAGCGAACCCAAAGCCTCTAGGCTAGCGAGCGCGAGTCTTACTCGCCGAGCCACCGCGGCTCGATACAACCAAGCGAGTATATTCGAAAATAGTAGCTTTTGAAGGCTTGACAAGATGTGTGCACTAATTGATACCACCGTACTGGTTGTTCGAAGCTTAGCTTCGCTTCACCACATTAAGATTAAATCATTAAATGGCTGAAACGTTCTAATCTACTTAAAATCAAAGACATCCAATGGCATCGACAGTTGATTATGGTCTTGTCATGTTAATAAATGTCTAATTAAGGGTATATATAACATTTCAGGCCTAAAGAAAGACCTGCAAAAGGTAGATTTAGCTCTTGCAAAGGCCCTAATCCTTGTATAACATTTGAAAATAGAGCCTATCAACACGGGAGATCCCTATCTAATATTGTAAGGACACGTTATTAGCGAGTATATTTACTTCGAAAGACCGGCACTGCTTCATGACTTTAAAACACCGGCACTGCTTCATGACTTGCAATTCCGATCCCTGGTGTGAGCGTATGTGGCTTGCAGATAGGGGCGCACTCCCAGTAGGATCCCCCCTACATATGACACCTGTGCGTGCACCAAGCCTAATAAAATATAACAACCTGTCTCCGATATCACCCTCACAATATTGTATGGTGACTGATTGGTATCATGTCGTGATGTCGTGGTGTCGCCCTTCGTAAGGCGACAACCCGACATCACGACATTATAACCCGACACCACGACAACTCGACATCACGACATTTTTACGCTACAATACGACATTTTTACGCGAAATTACGACATTCTTGTTAAAAATGTCGTGATGTCGTGTTGTCGGGTTGTCGTGGTGTCGGGTTATAATGTCGTGATGTCGTGATGTCGGGTTGTCGGGTTGTCGCCTTATGAAGGGCGACACCACGACATCACGACATGATACCAATCAGCCACCATACAATATTGTTTTGACCAACGATGTCGATTTATGCACTAAACAACAATCGACCAAGCGAAGTGCTTTGTCTGGTAAATCTGATATTATTCAAATTATATTATTCATAAATAAACACCAGCATGATATTAAAAGGGATCGATTTGTCAGTCACTATAGTACAGACTTTTATAGCAATCAGCCTGTCAAATAAAAACAAAATTAATTTAATGAAAGATTAAGTGCATGGATATGGCATTCCTCTGTATTGAATGATACAGACATTATTAGTTTTCATTGATTTCAGACAAATTTCACTTATGTTGTGTTATGATTTGCAACAAGTTCCAATCTGGTTAAAACACAGATCTTATTTCGTTTCGTTTTTTATAGTTCAAAATTTCGTTTTACTTGTCTTTACTACACTAGGGTCTGGAAGAGTTGTTATCATTGACGTGTTCTGGATGATGTGAGCTCTGTTACAGCGAGCTTTTGGCGTGAGGTGCACGGAGCTGTGGGCAATCTACTAGAAACATCAATGCTGATTTGTTAATCAAATGGCTGACGTCATGGGGCCAAAAGCCGTTCGTATGACCCCTGACGCGATCTCCCAAAACAACTTATCAGATCTTCATGTAGTGTAGGTCATCGAAAAAATAAAAAAAAAAAAAAAACGAAACGAAATATAGATCTGTATTTTAATCAGACTGAACAAGTTCACATTCCCTGTAAATTTTGTTTGAAAGGATTTATGAAATATTAGACTGCCTTTCTTTTTTGTAAAATAAAAATAATAAAAAATGATTAAGGTTAATTATATAAAATTGATTAAACAATGCGATACAATTAATTTTTAGAAAATTTAAATAAACTTTTAATACAAGGAACCACAAAGAAAGAGGCAAATCAAACTAAGGGGGAACTAAAGATCACGTGACAGCTGTCTAGTCGTTCGGATATTACGAAAAACCGAGGTACCGTCTATACATTGGCGTGTAGGTAATAGATCTATTGGCAGTTGAAATTCGATATATATATAGAGAGAGAAATGGGGGTTAACGTCCATAATTCGCTTGCGCATAGGGGTCTTTAGCAGTGGGAGGAAACCGGAGGACCCGGAGAAAACCGACAAAGTTGGACAGGCGACCCTATTCCTTGTCACGTACAACCGGGGATTCGAAACCACGCCAGCTGACTCAATGACAGACTTTATGATACAGCACGTGTTAACAATTCAGCCATCCAACCCCCGAAATTCGATATAAGAGTAGGCTATAGTGCCGCTTCCCTGGAAAAATGTCTCTCTTAGCGCACTGTATGACGTATGCCCAGTATAGCCCAGTATAGGAGCAGAACAGTAGGACGTTAAACCCCATTTCATTTCATTTTGCGTCAATATTCGATGCTTCATATAACAACTATGATATAACAGATGATTCTAGCCTTAACTTTGGGGTGTCTTCTCCAATAACCGAGCTATTTGGGATACACATGGTAAACTGTTTCCGGTCTCTTGAATACATAGAGGATATTTGTCGTTTTAGAGTGAATAACATATTTTTTTTCATCGAGAAGCAAGAAAACTCATATTTTCACGAATGCGTAGTTTTCTTGCTTAGAGATGAAATAAAATATGTTATTTACGACAAAACGACAAATGTTCTATTTATTTTATGATTTTACAATCATTTTAGGTAAAAACAACTAGCCAGTGGAATAACACTTTTATTTCACTGATAAAACGCGGTATTCCACTACTGATCATAAAATGAAGATTGAGATTAAAACGTAAAATTGTCGAGGTACTATATAAATCTTGTATTCGTCCAATATTTGACTTTCCGGATGACGTCTGGAACCAATCTGAGTAAAATACAGATCTATATTTCGTTTCGTTTTTTTTTATACTTTCGATGGCCTACACTACATGAAGATCTGACCGGTTGTAGTGATAGGTTGCGTCAGAGGTCATACGAGCAGCTTTTGGCCCTATGACGTCAGACATTTGATTAACCAATCAGCATTGATGTTACTAGTTGATTACCCACAGTTCCGTGCAAAACACGTCTAAAGCTCGCCGTAACAGGCCGTTTCATTGGCTAATACCTCACTACCTCACACTATTCAGAACACGTCAATGATAACAACTATTCAAATAACACATTATTTATAGAATAACAATTACTATGGTTTATTTCACTGCAAAGTTTCAACAAGATTTCACAAGTCGTTATCAAGCATACAAAAATGATAACAACTCTTCCAGATCCTAGTGTAGTAAAGACAAGTAAAGCGAAATTGTGAACTATAAAAAACGAAACGAAATAGGATCTGTGTTTTAATCAGATTGTGAAAAGTCTGAACAATTAGAAAACCCCTATCTCGATGTAATGCGAACAGTCACCTGGTTACCAAGAGACGCTTCTCACGTCATTGCGGCGTAAAAAGTGGATATTATTCGAAGGTATTTTATTAAAAACAGCTTAACCTGTCTTAAAATACAGATGTAAGGCCATCCTTTGATGTTGGCGTGCCAAGCGTACATTCATTATTTATACTAGTTGCAATAGTGGACCCGCGTGACGTATTTCATTGAAATGCACGTGCTGGATAGTGTTTGTATTTTAAGTTGTTTAATGTTCTCGTGCAAGACATTGCGTAATATACTCTTCCAAAAAAATAGTGGATATTGAAATGCAAATACCTATGCAGGTTGTGATATGATAAATAGTCATGGACATTAAGACATGCTTTGAGAGTATGTTCACAGATGAAGAACTTATCGCCCCAACAGAACCACTGAGCTGCACATGCGACACACAATAGCGCCATACACGTGGGAGGGGTTCATTGTCAAATTTGACACTTCAAGGAAGGGTTGATGAAAACTTCCGTTTGATAGTTTATCCTATCCATGTTTGCTTTCCTATCGGTTCTTGCATAAGACTTACTGTTTAGCGTATCTTTGCCACGTTTAATTTGACCGAGAGACGTGTACGTCAACGTCAACGTCAACTGATAACACTGCAAGAATTGTCCGTGGCACTGCAAGAGGAGTGTTTCAGATTGTCCCAAATCGTGATTGGACGGTTGATTAGGAGCATGCCATGACGAATTGCTGAATGTCTGAGGATTGGTGGAGCAATTACCCAATATTAATACAAAAATCAAAAACGTCCGTTTTCACTTTTAACAGTGTATCTCTTTGCGAGTGAAATGGGGCCTTCAGATAAGCCGCCCATATGAACTGTTTATGTTCATGTGTAAGCAATTGGCCTGTTATTAACATACACTGGTTATCTCTAATAAAAACAGCAGTGCATTTCCACAGATTTGTATTGTTTCTGAAGAGTATATATAGATATAGCCCTCGTGCTATCGCACTTTTACTATATCATTATTACTTAATATCTCGCACTCGACCATTAAACTACACATAATTAAGCGTATTGTCGTTTTAAGTAAATGTGATTCAGTTACATCAAATTTAATACGGAGATAAATTAAAAATCATTTGTCGATGTGGTTAATCATTCGGCCACCCACCCACTATTAAATAAATTCTGTGAATTTAATGAATAAAATATTATTTAAATCAATATAAATTGTTTGTTTATATTTATTTATTAAGAGGGTTTGATTTATAATATAACACGTCAATGAAAGCGGGATTGTACTTTGTTTATTAATATACTTTCTAATCGATGCTGAACAATATATCAACCATTGTGGCCAGCATTGTATATAGAAAAGAAATGCCCAGCTGGACTAGACAGCTATGCAACGGCATATAAATTTGACCAAAACCCGCCTCTGTTCGACAGTTTTAGGGATTTTCTCGTCAAGTAGGAGACAAGACAGAACCACAACGATGTTAGCTTTGATAATTTTTGTTTTGATCCAGGGCGCGTTTGGTCAGATTCCCGGTAAAGGCATTACAACTTATTTTTTTGTTTGTTTTTTTTTTTAAATGTTTTAAAGTATCTGTGCGTCATTTGCTATTTTCGGAAAATATTTCATTTTCCACGATTAGCCTTGATCATTTTATTTTTGATCCAGGGCGAGTATGGTCAGATACCCGGTAAAGGAATTACATCTTATCTTTTCGTTGTTTTCATTTTCAAAATGCTTTAAAGTATCTGTGCGTCATTTACCACGGTTTTCCTCAGCTTGATTATTTGAAATGATATGATATAGGGTTTAACGTCCGACTGTGTTAATCAAGAGACGCGGGTCTAGATAATTTAATTTAAAAATGGAAGCTAGAATAACAGTGGTAGTTATTCTCCCTACTTGGATTCACTCGGATTAACAACCGGATTAAACTTTTTCAGCCACAATTCCAGGTGATGCTGGATTGTTTTGACTATATTCTATATATCATGTGCAGTTGATGCCGAATGTGACAAACTTCAATTTATCATAACTTTGTAAATGCTGAAAAGATACATTTTTGACTGATATTTCTATCAGACATTCAACTGTAACTATATTGTAGTTTGGAGTTATATTCCAATAAGACATTCAACTGTAACTATATTGTAGTTTGAATTGATATTAAAGATTCAACTGTAACAATATTGTAGTTGGGATTGATATTCCTATCAGACATTCAACTATCACAATATTGTAATTTAGTTTGTAAGGGATTCAAAATCACAGCGACTTTAATGAAAACCAGTAAATGAATTTCGAGTGATTCTTGAGATACACTCTACATGTGGTAATCAACTTTACGCATGCATAATATCAAAATTGTGCTTGATGACTTCAACAAAACAACAACATGTCTACATATGATAACTTTACGTGCATGATTTTCCCAAGATATCAAAATTGTGTTTGGTGACTTCAACAAAACAACAACTAGTCTACCCAAGTTGTTAAAATGAAATGGAGTTTTACGTCTTACTTTTCTGCACCAACCGGGATAATAGAGACCGGAATATGACATGGAGTTTACACTATGAGCAAAAGTTTACCCGGACAACGGCACTACGGCCTACTCTTATTTCAGTTTCCAACTGTTGGGGGATCGTGAACGTGTTACCAATGGTGTGTGGTGTACACGAACAACTAAGGCCTACTTTTATTTCGGCTTCCAACTGTTGGATGATCGTAAACGTGTTGCCAATGGTGTACAAAAGACCTCCGTTTTTAGTCTCTTTCGGACAACTAGACACTTTTCTATGCCATGCCCTACGACTTGTACTACTGACAAGGGGGAACCAAACTGAAAAATATCGAGGAACCTTCTCGAGCAAAACTTGAATCGTTTGATTAATGAGCTAGAGCCATATTCACTGAAAAAATCCAAAAACTAACAATATTGCCTGTTTTCTATTTTGATTTAGAGTTAAGAACAGTCTCATTTTGCCCTAGAACAGACTGTAAGGTCTAACTAAGAGATAAATTTCAAATTTCTTCTTATAGCTACAATTAATCCACTGATTATTAGAAATCAAAATCAAAATACCAGGGCTAGATAATCTCCAAGCATGGACTCAATCGAACTTTAAACAGGCTCAGCAATTTAGTTCACGGTAAATACAGATAGCAGGTGTCTTGTTATATAGGGAACATTGATCGATGGAATTATTAATTCATCCTAACTTTGAAATACCGAGGGGATTTTTTACAGGCTCATCAATTTGGTTACCTAGGCAGCACCAGAGATCGATGGAATTACAATCTGATTAAAAAGAAGATCTATATTTCGTTTCGTTTTTTGATACTTTCGATCGCCTACACTACATGAAGATCTGGTCGGTTGTAGTGGAAGGTCGCGTCAGAGGTCATACGAGCGACTTTTGACCCTATGACGTCAGGCATTTGATTAACCAATCAGTGTTGATGTTTCTAGTGGTTACCTCCAGTTCCGTGAACCTTACGCCCAAAACTCGCCGTAACAGGCCGTTTCATTGGCTAATTCCCCACATCATCCAGAATGCGGGTTATGTAATAACTCTTGCAGATCCTAGTGTAATAAAGACAAGTAAAACGAAACGAGATAGGATCTATGTTTTAATCAGATCGATGGAATTACAGGGACTTTATAGCGCTAAAATCAAACCCGGGTCTACAAATCCAGATTAAAACGTTGCCCTATGTTCATAATTTTAAATTTTAATAATTTCACAGGGAAACAATGTGGTGGTGTCGTCTGTCTGGATAATAATGACGTCACGTGTATTTCCGATACGAACACGTGTAAATGTAAAGACGGAATGGTTGGAAATGGACGATTTGGATGCGTCGATGCTGGTATGTTTTCGTTATGTTAAATATTAATTTTGGACCCATTCTATACACAGAAATGAAATGAAATGAAATGGGGTTTAGCGTCCTACTGTTCTTCTCCTAACCTGGGCTAATGAAGACGGGCATACGCCATACAGTGTGCTATGAGGGAAATTTTGCCCGGGCAGCGGCACTATCGCCTACTCTTATATCGAATTCCAACTGCCAAGGGATCGTTTACGTACATTCTAATGTATACACGGAACCTCGCTTTTTCGTCTCATCCGAAGGACTAGACAGCTGTCCTTGTCAGGCCCTCCGTTCTGCACCACTGACAAGGGGAAACCACGTCGGAAAATGTATTAAATGTAAATGGGATAAAATACCTCTCAAAAAATGTGGAAGTATACTTAGTGTTTACTACTAAAATCATTGATTTATGAATTAAAATGTCGACCAACTAGTTAAGTGTCTGTCTAACTGTAGACAGACAGTGCAAACTTGGTATGTATTGGGACTCGCATGAGCAAGTGTCGGACTGAACACCTTGTTGACATCAATAATTTAAGCTAAACATCTTTTTGAAAATATATTTTAACATGCCTTTTTCAAAATTTTAGCTAAGAGTTGCGTTTGTTATCTCTATGGTGATCCATACGTCACAGCTTTCTCCCAGAGTGTGATGTCAGCACCGTTGCCTTGCCACCACGTTCTGACAGAATTTACAACACCAGACGGAATCTACGTGAAGATTACCGCCACAGCATCGTCAAGAAATGATCGACCTTATCCCAGCTTTGTATTTGAAGATGGCTTATCATTTATCGCTACAAAAGGCGAAACCATGGCAACAGCCCTCTTCCGAAGAGATGGATTTTGGGTACGCCCGTTTTCATTTATTTCCTAATTTCAGATGACATCACGTAGTGCAGTTGTCAGTTTCGTTGTCATGACAGTTGGCGGTATCTCAGTGGGTAAGGCACTGGCTAATAAACGAGGAGTTCCCGATGCCGACCGATAAATTACCTCATTTGATTCCCAGTGTGGTTTCCCCATGTCGATAGTGCAGGACGGGGGATCAGCTTCTAGTTCAGATGCGACTAGAAAGCTACCGTCCAGGCAAAACTTTCCTCATAGCACAATATACATGGCGTCTGTACCTCATAGCACAATACATGGCGTTTATATCTCATAGCACAATACATGGCGTTTATATCTCATAGCACAATACATGGCGTCTGTACCTCATAGCACAATACATGGCGTTTATATCTCATAGCACAATACATGGCGTTTATATCTCATAGCACAATACATGGCGTCTGTACCTCATAGCACAATACATGGCGTTTATATCTCATAGCACAATACATGGCGTTTATATCTCATAGCACAATACATGGCGTCTGAATCTCATAGCACAATACATGGCGTTTATATCTCATACCACAATACATGGCGTTTATACCTCATAGCACAATACATGGCGTTTATATCTCATAGCACAATACATGGCGTTTATATCTCATAGCACAATACACGAGGCCTATACCTCATTATCCCCGTTAGTGTAGAAAAGTAGGATGTAACATCACACCCACCCACCCTCCTCATTTTATTTCATATCCAATTCTTTTGGATTGATGTTTTGTAAAAGAGCGTATTTAATTCCGTACCTGCAATTATCTATATTCTAACAAATTAAATATAGTTTTAAAAAACCAAAACAATCTCTGGCTTGATGTTAGCCATGGTGGCTAAGTGGGTAAGACGCTTGCTCGCTAGTCTGGAGGTCGCGTGTTCGATCTCTGCATTGGCCGAGAACGTTCATCCAGATTTTCCGACGTAGTTTCCACTTGTCTGTGGTGCAGGACGGATGGCCTGACAAGGGCAGCTGTCTAGTCGCTCGGATGGGAAAAAATCTCAGGTCCCGTGTATACATGGGTGTGCACGTAATAGATCCCTTGACAGTTGGAATTAGATATAAGAGTAAGTCGTATTGTCGCTGCCCGGGCAAAATTTCCCTCATAGCACACTGTATGGCGTATGCCTGTCTTCATTAGCCCAGTAGGAGCAGAACAGTAGGACGTTAAACCCCATTTCCTTTCAATTTATTTCTTGCTTGATGTTTTGTAGAATAAAGGATTAAAGGTAAAATTGCCTGTCCGAGCTAATTTTCCTGATTTTGGATTGTATTGTTATGCTGACCCAGCTCATTATTGGACTCTAGAAATACCTGGATTTGGTATCGTCGTACGTTACAGGTAATATTTTTAAAAATGGATACATTTATTATTATCGTCATGGGTTATGCGTTCCACTGATGTTTTGCTAATGTCAAGTGCAGTAGCTGAATGCTGAACTCTTACTCGCCTGTCCTGCATTATTGTGTCGAGAACAGCATCAAGAGAGAAAGGTTTAACGTCCACTCGACACAAACTAAGTCATTTCTTGATTAACATGGGTCAATTTTATTTCAATAATTCGCTTGTGCGTAGGGGTCTTTAGCAGTGGCAGAAACGCGGAGGACCCGGAGAAAACCCAAGAGGCAGGACATACTACCCTAGTCCTTGTCATGTACAACCGGAAAATCGAAACCACGCCAGTTGACTCAATGACAGACCGCATGATGCATCGCGCATGCGCTAACCAATCGGCCATCAAACACCCCCCCACCCCGATTGAAACTCGATGTAACGGATAATCTAGGATTTAACAATTATAAGATTTTTTTCCTTCAGTTCCCAAAAAGAATCCCCAATATCCCAAAACCTTCTCGCCAAAATCAAATTTTAATCGCCACTTTACTATTTTTATCGCAAACTGCGACTTTGGCGACCGACATCGTGAACCCAGGGCACACCGCTGCTTGACTGTACTATACGACGGAGGATTGTCAACTAATGTTTGTGCCATATCATCATTAGTCTCGGCCACCCAGAACCTCCTAGTCTTCAACGTAGAATATTTTTTTCTGGATGATAGAGACTATATCATCGTGAGCACATTTTTAGAAATTTGTTTTTTTGTCCAAATAAGGTCATGTTGATTGACAGCTATATACGTTATGTCACAGTACACCGAATTTGTAGCACATTGGTTGAGTTTAAGCGATCCGTTCATGGTGCGATTGGAAAGGTTTGGGACACCTCTCGTTGTATATAGATTGGTTGAGTTTGTGCGATCCGTTGTTCGTGCGTTTGTTACCCCTATCGCAGATTGGTTGAGTTTGCGTGATGCGTTCATGGTGCGACAGGAAACGTTTGGGACACCCCACGTAGCACCTGTTGACCGTATCCTATGTTGTTTGTTCTGTATATGTGTTGTTGAGCAGTGTTCCTGCATTAGATGTTTTGATTTATTTTCAGGAGCGCCGATTCATCCCTTACTATAGAAGCACCTAAAAACTCCCAATATGTCAGAAATACTATCTGCGGCGATTGTGGTGACCCTCAAACGACCTACCGAACAATGGCTCAAGCGGCTGGTATGACGCTCAGTGAATTTTCACTGGTTGGAACAGTGCAAAATTTAGATCCAGAAAACGAGTAAGTTTTGTAATGTTTCCATTAATTTAGTTCCGTGAAAACACAAACAGAAAAAAATTATTTAACTCTACAATATACAGATTTCTATGCAAATTTCAATTACATCATGACGTCACACGGTAGTTGACGTCACATTTCTTTAATAAATCATTCATCGCACTCGGCAAACCCCAGGAGATCCAAGTACCCTACATCTAGCCGGGACTATGACGAAGTCCGCCATTGGAACTACTTTCAAGTTCCCTGATTACCAACGGCGTTGACCATGACGACGCATTTTAAATGAAATGAAATGAAATGGAGTTTAACGTCCTTCTGTTCTGCTTCAAACTTGGATAATGTAGGCGGGCATACACCATACAGTGTGCTATGAGGGAAACTTTGCTCGGACAGCGGCACTACGGCCTACTCTTATATCGAATTCCAATCTTTTACGTGCACGCCAATGTGTACACGGGACCTTGGTTTTTCGTCTCACCCGAACGACTCGACATATTTGAAGAATGTTTGAAGCTGTTTTTCTTTCTAGTTTATCCGATGTTCTTCAAACAAGGACAACTTTGCACTGAAAACTCTACACATTCTTCATCGAAAGTATTAAAAAAACAAAAAACGAAACGAAATATATATCTGTATTTTAATCAGAGAGAGAAATGGGGTTTAACGTCCACTCGACACAAACTAGGTCATTTCGGGACTAACATATGGTTCAATTTTATTTCCATAATTCGCTTGCGCGTAGGGTTCTTTAGCAGTGGGAGGAAACCGGAGGACCCGGAGAAAACCCACGAGGTTGCACAGGCGACCCTACTCCTTGTCACGTACAACCGGGGTCATAGAAACAGAGTGAGCAATAGATATTTCATACAGTTATTTAGAAGTTAGATCCCCCACTAAAATTATTATCATGTCCCTTTTTTTTTCAGTGAAAACCCGCAATGCAAGGACCTCGACCGTGTATTCAAAGACTGTAGTCCGGACAAGAAATCCGAAGCGTTGAAATTTTGCGGAGCTCCTTTTAGTCACAATGATATTGGAGAATGTTTTGTCCAGGCCTATGGACGAGGAGAGATTCTAGGGATGATGAACGGTTGTATTGAAGCTTTCTGTGGTGGTGTGACCGACAACTGGTGCAGTAAGACCAATACAGCGAAAACACAATGTACCGAAACAGTGGATTTCTCAGTTATACTTAATAAATGTTAATTACATGTATAATGTATGTCATATTTTTAATTTTCTGAAATGAAATGAAATGGGGTTTAACGTCCTAGTGTTTTGCTCCGAACTGGGCTAATGAAGACGGGCATACGGCATACAGGGTGCTATGGGGAAAATTTCGCCCGGACAGCGGCACTACGGCCTACTATTATATCGAATTCCAACTGTCAAGGGATATTTTACGTGCATGGCAATGTGTACATGGGACCTCGTTTTTTCGTCCCATCCGAACGACTATCAGGTCCGTAACTGAGGGGTGGGGCGCAGGGTGGGGGCTGCAAAAAGTCCCCCCCCCCCCGTGAAAAAATTGTCGACCATAAAAAAACAATAGATATACATTGTCCGTCAAATTTACAAAACCCCATGAGAACACTTCCCGCCCCCCTCGTTGCTCTAAGCTAGTTACGTCCGCTAGTTGCGTCCCTGACGACTATACGTAGTCCCTTGCCAGCAGTTGCCAGGCCCTTGCTAAATCTGCCTATTGTCCCGTACAATAATAGACCTTATAATCTAAAGCCCCCCCCCCCCGCAATAGAAACGCCCAAACTGATTAATTTTACATCAGGCGCGGATACAGAGGGGGTATGTCTCCACCTTTCTATTGATTACTTCTTCTATAAGAGTTTAACGCCCACTCGACACAAACTAGGTGTGAATTATTGAAATAAAAATTGAGCCATATGTTAGTCCCGAACTGACCTGGTTTGTGTCGAGTGGATGTTAAACCCCATCTCTCTCTCTCTCTCTCTCTCTCATTCATGTTAAATGAATGGTCAGTATGGACACTTGTGCTAGGATGACCCGTGCACTTTACAGAAAGTTGGTCTCGACACGGCTAAATGTGCACGCTTCAGTTGCGTGTCTCGAACTGATTTCTGACTACCCCGCACTCGCTTTGAGTCGATAAATAGCCATGGAACGTGCAATTTTCTACAAATATATCAACTATTACAGCCGTAAAAAATCTATTGTTGACGATTTTGAATAGCAGTAAAATTTAGCTTCTTGGTTATTACAGCAGCTATAGTAATTACGTTTGTTTTATTTTTTAAATTGCTTTATCATTAACTGTACCGTTAAGAGCGGAATCTTTTGGATTAGTACAAATACTATCTCTGAATCACTTTCTTTAGCAGGAACATGATACTAGCAGTAGTTTCATTTTACTTTTACAAGTTTCTTAAAACAATTGTTGAGTTGTCTAAAGTGCTTATTTCTAAATTCAATTTCTTGTTCTAGCTTTCTGTTATGTTTCGTAAAAAAAGTAGTCTTGATTATCCCGACCTGTCAATCAGACGTAGAATGGTCGATAGACTGGTTAAGCGAGACTAATTTCAAAACAAGGGCACGTAACCTATATTTTACTCAAAAGTGTCTGGGTGTTATGGACGCAACTTGGAACCAGTTTTCAGTCTATTATTTATAGATGATTAATGGTCATAGCTTATTAAGTACAACATGATCGTTTATTTAGTGACTATAATTGTGTGAAACTGATTTGAGGCTTGGCATATATATAAATATTGTGGCGTAATTGTCGAGATATTTGGAGATATTTATTTATGGTGGGTCACCCTACAACTTGTGCATTTACTGTTGCCCGAATTTCAACAATTCATTGATATTTAATTTTGAAAGTTATAGGATCTATTAAGTAGGCCATAATTCTGTGCAAGCTAAAATATTTTTGTTGGGTCTGTTTGTTAGGATCGATTGCAGTACGTCAATAAAACAGCTCTAAAGGAATGCATGTCGCCATTAGAAATCAATATCAGACCAACTTAATCCCTCAATAACTTCAGAAATTTTAATAATCTTTGTTCAGGTTTCGTGATCCCCCTTTCATCATAACTGCATTCTATTGGTAAACAGGCCTGGCTTACTGATTAATCCGCAATATCTTTCTTTAAAAAGCAATAAACTGTAACGAAAATAACCATGTTCTAATCCACAGTGACGCAAGACCATAGAAACGGATGCACCAGGTGGCGGGACGCGCGTATTACCTATCCTGGCGCCGCCATTGGGTAGTGGCGGTTCTAGGCTAAATCTGTTTGTTAAGGCCAGCTTAATTTTCGTTTAGGTCGCTGATATGTAAATAAGGTTAGGGCACGTGATTGTTGGCGAGATTGTAGGTTAGGGTTTGGGTAAGAATTAGGGCGAAGTCCAGGGTTAGGTTTAGGATTGGGATTAGCGCTAGCGCTGTTTACATCTCGTGATTTATGACGAAAAATTGAGCTGGCCTTATCATTTAGCACTTACCGATATGTGAGAGAGAGAGAGAGAGAGAGAAATAGGGTTTAACGTCCACTCGACACAAACTAGGTCATTTCGGGACTAACATATGGTTTAATTTTATTTCAATAATTCGCTTGCGCGTAGGGGTCTTTAGCAGTGGGAGGAAACCGGAGGCCCCGGAGAAAACCCACGAGGTTGGACAGGCGACCCTACTCCTTGCCACGTACAACCGGGGATTCGAAACCACGCTAGTCGACTCAATGACAGACTTCATGATACAGCGCGCGCACGCTAACCATTCAGCCATCCACCCCCCCCCCCCCCTCCGATATGTGTGTATCTGTTGATTAAACTAAAATTCACTTCAACGAATCAAACTAAATCGTCACAGACGTTATGGTAGATTTGCAAAAATATTTAAGAAAGAGAGAAATGGGGTTTAACGTCCACTCGACACAAACTAGGTCATTTCGGGATTAACATATGGTTTAATTTTATTTCAATAATTCGCTTGCGCGTAGGGGTCTTTAGTAGTGTGGGGGGGCCGGTGGGCCCGCCGAAAATCCACGACCCAACCAGGGCCGTATGTAGGATTTTAAAAGTGGGGGTGCAGCAGAGTGGTGGGGCGCCAAAATAATACCCAAGTTACCCATTGGCGTGTGGGCGCCATTAAAAAAAGACCGACTAATCAGTGCCTTAAGGGCATCACAGTGTGATCATAATCAAGTGTATTATTTTATGATTGAAAGGTTATCAAATTATTATTTTTTTTTGGGGGGGGGCATATTTTTGTGGGAGTGTAATGTACCCCCTGCACCCCCGCTAGAAACGGCCCTAGGCCCTACTCCTTGTCACGTACAGCCGAGGAATCCAAACCTCTCCAGTTGACTGTATGACAGACCTTATGATACAACGCGTGCTAGCTATCCGGCCATCACCCCCCCCCCCCCCCCCGACCCCGCCCCTCACCACCAAAATATTAAAGAGACATTATTTAAAATTTGAAAAATAAATATTTTGAAAATTTCAGTTACAGTACTGAGCGAAGTTATGAGTAACACATTAACACTATTTATGGAGTAACAATTACTGGGTTATTACTCGCGTCTTTATCATTTTATCGTTTGTTCAGTGTGTAGGACGTTAAACTCCCTCTCGCTCATCTACTCGGAGCCACGACAGCTCAGTGTGTAGGACGTTAAAATCCATCTCACTCTGTCATCTACTGGGAGCCACGACAGTTCAGTGTGTAGGACGTTAAAATCCATCTCACTCTGTCATCAACTGGGAGCCACGGTGGTTCGGTGAATAGAACGTTAAACGCCCTCTCACTCTGTCATCAACTGGGAGTCACGGCAGCTCAGTGAGTAGGGCGTTAAACACCCTCTCACTCTGTCATCAACTGGGAGCCACGGTAGTTCGGTGAATAGAACGTTAAACGCCCTCTCACTCTGTCATCTACTGGGAGTCACGACAGCTCAGTGAGTAGGACGTTGGCTCCCTAATCGTGTTCGATCGGGATTTTCCGACGTGGTTCCTCCTTGTCAGTGGTGGAGGACCAAGGCAAGAGACAAAGTATAGTCGTTCGGATGGGACGAAAACCCGAGGTCCGACGTACACATTGGTGTGCACGTAAAGCACCCCTTGGCAGTTAGAATTTGACATAAGAGTAGGCGTAGCACGCTATCCTGGCATAATTTCCCTCATAGCACAATGTATGACATGTGTCCGTCTTCATTAGCCCAGTCAGCGCAAAACAGTAGGACGTTAAATCCTATTTCATTTCATTCATTTCATGTATTTCAATAGTTTGTGTACACGGAACCTCGATTTTTCGTGCCATCCGAAGGACTATACGTTGTCGCTTGCCAGACACTCCGTCCTGCACTATTGACATTGAGAAATCGCACAGGAATATACAGAGGTACTTTCTCGGCCAACACGGGACTTCCGGGTTAGCGAGCCACTGTCTTACTCACTGATTCACCACGACTCTCAATATGGGGGAAACAAAACGCTACATCCAATCTCAGATGATGAAAACTTGACCAGTGTTCCTACTAATGTATGCCAAACAAATTGATTTAAATATCTGCTGATCAATATGGGAAACAAAACGCTACAACCAATAACATTTTTTTATATCAGATGCTGAAAGACTGGCCAAAAACATTAATTTAAATATCTGCTGATCAATACGTAAAACGTAGACGACAAAAGACATTGATCACATGACAGGGTATTGAACAAAATATACAAATATTTCAAGATTTTTCTTCTTAATCTCCAAATCCACAGAACGCAGCTGGGTCTTAAAAAAAGTATATAATACGTGGATTGTCCAATGATTATTTAGTTCTGTGGCTTGAAATAGGAGAGTCTGTTTCATCTAACAGTTTATTCTCATAAGAAATCTTGGAATCGTGACTATAGATCGTACACGAGCCAGGATGCTTATATTCGCTATTTTAATTGTGCTGCCAGCCTTATTCGCTGGCGCGTACATACCAGGTAAGATGCAGAATAGCTATATTTATAACATTTGAAAATTTTAACCCCACTGGCACGTAAACCAGTGGTTTTCAACTTTTTTTTGCCAAAGTGGAACACATGAAAAAATAGCGGCACACCTGGCTAAATATTTATGAAAAATATTTGAATTTTGCAAAATAAGAATATGGTAAGTCATAGACGGCACACAACCGTAGACAGAGACTAGTCATAAACATATAGACTGACTCAAACTAAATCAAGAAAAACACTGCTTTTCAGTAGACACCAGTGAATACTCAATTGTTATCACGTGGTTTTTTGCATTTTCTTAGTGTGCCCTTCAAAATTCCACGGCATTGGCCTAGAAAGTTCATCCCGATTTTCCGGCGTGGTTTCCCTTTTCAGTGATGCAGGACGGAGGGCCTGACAAGGACAGCTGTCTAGTCGTTCGAATGTCCCGTGTACACATTGGCATGCACGTAAAGATCCCTTGACAGTTGGAATTCGGTATAAGAGCAGGCCATAGTGCCGCTGTCCGGGCAAAATTTCCGTCATAGCACACTGTATGGTGTATGCCCGCCTTTATTATCTTAGTTCGGAGCAGAACAGTAGGACGTTAAATCCCATTTCATTTCATTTCATTTTTCACAATGGGGTTGGGATGAGGGGGGGGGGGCAGAACCTTTTGCATTAGACGTGCCATGGTACAATGATTTCCTCTCGTTACGAAAGGATACGGTTAGAACTGAAGGGGGATTAACGACTTGTCGATACTTCGGTTCGATCACATTTTGGCCGAAATAACCCCCTTGGACTTTTCAGCATGGTGTCCCGCTGTCGGATTTGGAGGACGGAGGACAATGGGGCAACAATCTGGGCTCCCGTGTTTATTATATAACCCGGTTGGCAAGGACGTTAACGCCCAGTTTTTTCAAACTCTTCAAAATGTATTTGCATAAATAACCGTTGAAAAATTTGATGAGCGGTGATTTATTTCTCGACTATTATATTGGTAGCACCGGAACTTCTATTCACAAGAAAACAGAAAATGAAATGGGGTTTAACGTCCTACTGTTTTGCCTCGATTGGGCTAATGTAAACAGAACAAACTAAGGGTTATTTCCAGGGAAAGTTATACAGAATAACACGCATGATTATACAATAATTTAGGGCTTATTACTACCGGACTGGACCGAGAGGTAAACCCCTAAATCCACCGTCTCCCAGTCTCTCTACCCCCGTCTCCATATTTTCACATCCCAGCTATCATAATACACATATGGCGTATGCCCGCTTTCATTAGCCTATACAGGTGACAATTCTATGGAATACAATTACGGGGTATTACTGAGCGACGTTTCAACTAGGCTTCTCTAGTCATTATCAAGCTATGATAAAATATGAAGTATAACAATATAATATAACTCGCGAAAGCAATACTTAGTTAAAGGAGCTAAATCGCTAACATTTGGGACCTAGAAATTGATTTACATTCAATGGTTTCCGTTTTTACTCCAATTTCAAATAAGCCAGCAGTCTCAAGCGAGTGCAAATTTCTAGTGTCTGGTTATTCCAGTCTACATACGCCGTTTGATTTGGTGCAAGGTGTCTAGCCTCCTCCCTCGAGTCTCTTGATACAACTGGGGCTGAAGCGCATTATGGTACACGATTCGTGTACCAATAGTAAAATGTTTATTTTGTCTTAAATATTGGATATCAAAAGCCCATCTTTTTCCGGTAAGATCATAACATGAATGTTGATTTAATTTGACCAATAAATCGTGTTTTCAATGTTGAAGATTTTGGATGATATTGAGTTAAAGACTTAGCTACTTTAATGCTGATCAACCAGAGACATTGAAACAATTCATTAGCCTTTTCATTTCTCTTTGGTTTTATTATCTTCAATAACGTGTACGAACAGGTACCCGTGAGAACTTGGGGTCCTGTCCAAACTGATTAAAATACAGATCTATATTTCGTTTCATTTTTTATACTTTCGATGGCCTACACTACATGAAGATTTGACCATTTGCCTAGTCATTTCTTTTTGTTTTTATTATCTTGGGGTCCTGTCATGCTGCAGCTATTGGGATTTTCCCCCACCTCGTGAATCTGTGCAAAGGACGCACCTCCCGTCTGGGTCCACATAGTAAATGAAATGAAATGAAATGGGATTTAACGTCCTACTGTTCTGCTCCTAACCTGGGCTAATGAAGACGGGCATACGCCATGCATTGTGCTATGAGGGAAATTTTGCCCGGACAGCGGCACTACGGCCTACTCTTATATCAAATTCCAACTGCCAAGGGATCTTTTACGTGCACGCCAATGTGTACACGGGACCTCGGTTTTTCGTCCCATCCTAACGACTAGACAGCTTTCCTTGTCAGCCCCTCCGTCCTTCATCACTGACAAGGGAGAACCACGCCGGAAAATCTGGATGAACTTTCTCGGCCAATGCAGGGATCGAACACCCGACCTCCAGGCTAGCGAGCTAGCGTCTTACCCACTTAGCCACGTGATCCCCTCCACATAGTAAGGTAGTCATCACTTGTGGTTAAATAATTTTATAAAATAGAATAGGTAATTCAGTTCCAGAACAAACTACACGCTGTCAGAACAACCCACACGCAACCAGAACAAACTGCGCACCATTAGTACAAGCTACACGTCATTAGAACAAGCTACACGTCATCAGAACAAGCTACATATTATCCGAACAAATTGCGCGCCATAGAAACAGCTGCCCGGCATCAAAACAAACGTAAAGGCATCAAAACAGTAATTCGCTTGCGCGTAGGAGTCTTTAGCAGCGGGGGAAAACCGGAGGACCCGGAGAAAACCCACGAGGTTTGTCAGGAGACCGTATTCCTTGTCACGTACAACCGGGGAATCGAAACCAACCAGACCTTATTGAAATAAAATTGAACCATATGTTAGTCCCGAAATGTCACATTTTCTCTCTGTGTAATTAAAGGGACTATCCCTTATTTGAACAGAGTCTCAAAAATAAAAGTCTGAGTATGTATGAAATTTAAGCGCCAAAATATAGAGGAATGGTGTATTGACCTTATCTCAAAATTTCAGCTCAAAATTTTGAGTCGTTTGGACGTGGCCGTCAAAACTGCTTATCCGGACACGTAACCCTTTTAAGATTTCGGGTCAATTTTTTCGCTGGGAGACCTGATAATCGATTCCCGTTCCTTTAGAGGTCTATACAGTGAATGAACCAAATGCTGTACTTGCTAACGAAAGGTAAATGTCAGCTACACATTATTTTTATACAAAAAATGTCTGGTTTTATCTAGACACCGCATAATACAGCTTGGGACACTGGTCACCATTAACAGATGAAGACTGATGGGTTTAAGTTGTTTGAAAACTTATCACAAATATTGAGTTAGTTGCTCGGCCCTTAGGAAGAGGACTTTAAGGGATTTTAAAACATAATTAAACAGTTTTATTCTCCAAAAAGTTATCGGGATTAGCCCTTTAAGGGAAATACTTTAACAACTTTTTACACTAGAAGCGCCATGTTTTATATATAGTTATACGCCTGCTATTGGCTATTGTCTGTCTAACTCTGTAAAGTTAATAATATCGTTGAGTAAGCAGCAAATAACTGTTATAAATGAATATATACGACACTAGCACATCAAAGACGTCATCTTATATACATAATGTTTATTAGTTCATTAAAATTGTTAGTTATTGTCCAGACCATAATCAACTCGCGATGTCATCGCTAATCTACGTTGTTTATTGGATTAGGTTCAGATTTGCTGTTCGACTCCCATTCATGATTTAATCATGGAATGGATAATCGAGACTATGTTTTTTTTTTATTGTACCGACTTTAGTAATGATGATCGGAGAGTTGTTATATAATCCGCGGTCTGGTTAATGTGAGTGATTAGCCAGTGAAACGGTCTGTTACGGCGAGTGTTTGGCTAATCCACTTCAAACATCGACGCTGATTGATTAATCAAATGTCTGACGTCATAGGATCAAAAGCCGCTCGTATGACCTCTGACGCGACCTTCCACTACAACCGGCCATATCTTCATGTAGTGTAGGACATCGAAAGTAAAAAAAAAAAACAACAACGAAATGAGAGAGAAATGGGGTTTAACGCCCACTCGACACAGACATTTCGGGACTAACATATGGTTTGATTTTATTTCAATCATTCGCTTGTGCGTAGTGGTCTTTAGCAGTGGGAGGAAACCGGATGACCCGGAGAAAACCCACGAGGTTGGGCAGGCAACCCTCATCCTTGTAGGGTTGACTCAATGACAGGCCTTATGACAGCACGCACGTGCTAACTATTCGGCTATCCATCTCCCAACGAAACGAAATATAGGTCTGTATTTTAATCAGATTTAGTGTGGTGCACATTTTGTGAGAACTTAAGATGTTTGCTTTAAAATCATGGTATTACTGTATGCAATTCGAAATCTAATCTCCGGGTTTCAATAGATTTAGGTCGAGTGTCTGCCGAGCCTTTTAATACATATATTGGTTTATGTGAGTGTCTATGTGACTAAGACGCTGGCTCGCTAGGGACTGACAAGGACAGCTGTCTAGTCCTTCTGATGGCACGACAACCCGGGGTCCCGTGTACACATTTGCGTGCACGTAAAAGATCCCTTGGCAGTTGGAATTCGATATAAGAGTAGGCCGTAACGCCGCTGCCCGGGCAAAACTTCCCTCAGAGCACACTATATGGCGTATGTCCGTCGTCATTAGTCCAGTCAGGAGCAGAACAGTAGGACGTTAAACTCCATTTCATTTCTAGTGGTGCACGTAAAAGATTCTTTGGCATTTGGAATTCGATATAAGTGTAGGCCGTTGTCCGAGCACAACTTTCCTCATAGCAAACTGAATCGCGTATGCCAATCTTCATTATCCCAGTCGGAGCAGAACAGTAGGACGTTATTCAGCGTTCCTCATTCTTAGTTCTTAATTCTTAGTCCTTGTATAGAAATCAGACTTTTGTCATATCAGTTTTGTATACAAATGTCGAAATACGACAAGAAATTAAGAAATAAGAATTAAAGCGGGAATTTCAAATTTTCTAAGAAAGTGAAAGTCAAAACATAATTATATCTATGTCTTTTGCTCAATAGGTTATCAACTCACTATTATACGATCATGGGCATTATTTCCCACCCTTAAAAATCTATGACACAGGAAATAACAACACAATTACCTCCCCTGTTTTGCTATTGACAACATGGGGCAGCCATTTTCCAACGTTGGAATTTGAAGTTAAAAATGATATTTTTGCCAATTTCTCAGCTGGCAATAGCGAATTATAGGATTAATAGGATTATTCTTTAACAAGGTAGGACTGTTTATGGATACCATCTATTTTAAGGCTTTATTTTAATACATTTTAAAAATATAACTTGGAAATTTGAAATTGCAACATTAATGACTATGAATTAAGAACTAAGAATTAAGAACACTGAATAAAGGGCTGTTTGGTCTTCCATGGTTAAACGTTATTTCATTTATTCTATATTTGTTTACAAGGTGTTCGTATCGAATCAATCCTGTTACAGTTGAAATATCTATATGTTAACAGCAGTGGAAGTAATCGTCTTACATCGATTTCAATTATTGTAACATTTCTATATTTTATTGGCCTATTGAAAACATAATCGACAACAATTATTCTACGTCATTTTCTTCTCAGATCGCCAAATAAAATGCCTTAAATAAATAAATCTCAAAGCACAACAAAAGGCATTAAAACACATGGAAGCAGCTTGCATAAAAATGTTTATACATTACGTAGACAAAAAAAGAAAAAAAAAAGCGTTCAACATTGTTTGGAAATGAAATGGTGTTTAACGTCCTACTGTTCTGCTCCTATACTGGGCTAATGAAGACGGGCATACGCCATACAGTGTGCTATGAGGGAAATTGTGCCCGGACAGCAGCACTACACCGAATTCCAAATGCCAAGGGATCTTTTACGTGCACGCCAATGTACACGGGACCTCGGTTTTTTCGTCCCATCCGAACGATTGGACAGCTGTCCTTGCCAGGCTCTGATCCTTGGTGTACTCCATTCGGACGTGAGTTGTTGTCGTATGAGCTTATCGTCAGTGTATTGTTTAAGAGACTATATTTAGTGTTGTACTGGTTGTTCTAATCTTTGTATTTCCAGTTGTTACTTAAATTGAGCCTAGTTAAAACAGTCTATTCAATTTGATTTATGGGTAATACACGGGCTTTGCCAATTTGTAAACAACGATGTATTGATGTGAAATCAAGAATAAAGTCATAACTTTCAAAATCCACAACAACGGATAGCTATGCCAGACGTTACGTCATTTATTAACCTCGATCAGATTAAAATACAGATTTATATTTCGTTCCGGTTTTTTTTCATACTTTCTATGGCCTCTACTACATGAAGATCTGACCGGTTGTACTGGGAACTTGCGTCAGGGGTCATACAAGCAGCTTTTGACCTGATGTTGATAGACATTGATTAACCAATCAGCGTTGACGTTTCTAGGGGTTTACCCACAGTTCCATGCAGAGAACGCCAAGAACTAGCCGTACCAGACCGTTTCATTGGCTAATTCCTCCCATCATCCAAAAAGCTGGTTATATGACAACTCTTCCAGATCGTAGTGTAGTAAAGACAAGTAAAACGAAATTTTGAACTATAAAAAACGAAACGAAATAGGATCTGCGTTTTAACGAGATTGTTCTTAACCTAATCATGGCGGTGTTCAAGGTAGAACATGAATTAAATATGTGCACTTCCTGTAGGCCTCATTTCCGAGTCCCTTCATTAGCCCAGTCGTAACAGAAAATTAGGGTGTTAAACCATATTTCAGTTCATTTCTCAACAGCCGAGGAAAGATCCAAAAGATGCTGAAATACACACTGGGATCACGTAACCAATTAGATAACTGGATTTGAGACGCACGTCGCAGATTCCCATAAATTTGGTTATATGTAGCTCTTAAGAACAACACCACTTTCCCAAGTTACCTTAAGGATAACAGAGCGCCACCTCTGTATCCATCAATTTTGATTGATGCAGATCTTAAAGCGAACATCCCATCCAAAGGTTACACCAATTTGGGTTAAAGCAACCAGAACGCTCTCGAGTTCCTTCTATTTGAGTAGATACGGATCTCAAGGCTTCCAGAACGACCCCTTGTTCCATCTATTTGGGTAGATACAGATCAGAACGCTCCCGAGTTACTTCTATTTGGGTAGATACGGATCTTAAGGCTACCAGAACGATCCCGAGTTCCATCTATTTGGGCAGATACGGATCTTAAGGCTACCAGAACGCCCCCGAGTTACTTGTATTTGTGTAGATACGGATCTCAAGGCTTCCAGAACGCGCCCGAGTTCCATCTATTTGGATAGAAATGCACCCTTTTCTTTTATTTCTAGGAAACCCATGTGGTGGAGTTGTCTGTCTTGATAGACCGGAAGTGACATGCCTGCCTCAGTATAACTATTGTAGATGCAACGACGGCTATGTTGGAAGTGGAAGATTTGGATGTGTAGACAAAGGTAATTAATCAAACATTTTCATAGGTGGGGTTGTTTTTTATACAAATTTAACATAAATTAAGAGGTTGTGTTTCGGCTCAGTTTGGTAGGTGGAGGTGGGGTTGTTTTTATACATATTTCACAGTAATTAAGAGGTTGTGTTTCGGCTCATTATGATAGGTGGGGGTGTGGTTGTTCTTATACAAATTTCACAGTAATTAACAGGCTGTGTTTCGACTTCGTAGGATAGGTGGGGGTGAGGTTGTTTTTATACAACTTTCCACAGGCACTTAAAGGGATTAAAATAAAACTTCTTACTACTGCTTGACTATATATTATAGTATATAAAAGGTATTTCAGGCGCCATCTTTGTTTACACGTCTCCAAGACATTTCGCCTGCTATCACCTCGCAATACTCACTAGTTCTAACACTTCCCGTCGTTTTTATTGCCAACGAGCCTTTATTTGATCATTATGCAGCTTCCGATGTAATTAAATTGGTCATTTCACAGCGTTATTAATTACAAATCAAACTTGAAGCGCTATCACTGGGCGAAAAGCAACTTCAATCTCAAAACAAGTTTTCATAATTTGATCTAGAGAAATGGGGCAAAAATACAATAAGCGCGAGAAAAATATAAATGTGCTAAAGAAATGATGCGGTGGTCATCTGCCGAATAACGTTTCTTGACAGCGGTAGTCCGCCAAATTCACGTCATAAATTTATTTTAATTATAACGTCAAAAACACTGACAATAATATAAGGGCGATATTTCAGATAATCGCCCTGATAATTGTCAGCGTTTTTGACGTTTTAACTTTATGACGCCAATATTATTCATTTGTAGCATAATATGACCAGCTATATACAGTCCCGGCATGGTGAAGAAAAAAAAGTTTTGAAATTTCTTTTTTAAAAAAAAGTAGCTCTGTTCCGCTTTAAAATGTAGATGATATTATATGGCATTGGTGTTAACCGATTTGTACTAAGACAACAGACAAGTACAGTATTTATACTGGCCATTGTACATTGAATGTCCGTCTTCATTAGCCCTTTCATGAGCAGAACAGTAAGACATTAAGCTCCATTTCATCCTAACCACACTACAAGCGCTGGCAGTAATTTTGTTAATAAATGCCGCTTTGTTTTGTTTGGCATTACCTTGACAGAAATACTATTTCAAATTAATAATTTACACCTGTCTATGTCCGACACCAGTGTCTAGAGTTCAAAGTTCATTGGAAATCTGAATCCGATCCAACAAATATGTTTATTTTAAAAGCTTATCGGAACGAACCCCCCCCCCCCCTAAAAAAAACCCAACCCAAACCAGGGCCCATCTTTTAAGACCGATATGTGTTGTGTTTCAGAAAAGAGCTGTATCTGCCATCTTTTTGGGGATCCTTACGTCAAGGCTTTTTCCGGTAGTGTGATGTCACAACCGCTACCATGTCGTCATATCCTGGCTGAGTTTACCACCCCATTTGGTTTACAAGTGTCTGTAAGCGCTAGTGCTATACCTGGTGGGAATGATGAAGGTAGAGGCTATCCTGGTTATGTCTTTGAAAATGCGTTACACATCCTAGTAAAGAAAGGCAATACAACTGCGCACGCAGAAATACGTCGGGATGGTTTTTTTGTACGTATCTTAGTACTTTTCTTTGAACCCATTTCGAACTAGGCCTTGGGCCTAGCATATATATATATATTATTATATGTAAGATCAATCTGATACAGATCCTATTTCGTTTCGGGGGTTGGATTGCCGAATGGTTAGCAGGTGCGCACTGTATCATAAGGCCTGCCATTGAGTCAACTGGCGTGGTTTCGAATCCCAGTTGTACATGACAAGGAGTAGGATCGCCTGTTCAACCTCGTGGGTTTTCTCCGAGTCCTCCGGTTTCCTCCCACTGCTAAAGACCCCTGAGCGCAAGCGAATTATTGAAATAAAATTAAACCATATGTTAGTCCCGAAATAACCTAGTTTGTGTCGAGTGGACGTTAAACCCCGTAAAAAAACCGCTAGAAGCAGACCCAAGGAGAGGGGGCCCAAAAGGTACATAGATAGCTGCAGTACCCATCTATTTAATTATATTACGTCGGTATGATCGGTATTCGTTCCACGGGGCCTTCGATCCGATCCCCGATGTCCTACTCTGGTCATGCAGGGGTACATTTAGAAACCATAATATTTGCAAAAGGTCTAAATGTCCATAGTATACACATTGGCGTGCACGTAAAATATCCATTGACAGTTGAACTTCGACATAAGAGGAGGCCGTAGTGCCGCTGTCTAGGCGAAATGTCCCGCATAGCACACTGTATGCCTGGACGGAGCAGAACAGTTGGACGTTAAACCCCATTTTATTTCCTTCTTTCTTTACACACTTACAGAAAAAGGGTCTATATGTTCCGCTTCCCGCATCCAAGAACTTCCCTGATTTTGGTTTGTCCTGTTATGGTGACGATTCGCATTACTGGACATTCGCGATTCCAGGAAAAGGTGTGAATATTAGATACAGGTAAGCTAAATTGGATTTAAAAGATAAACAATGATTAGATTAACCTCCCCTCCCCCTCCCCTCCGCCAGATTAACCCCCATAGAGACGGTAAGCACTTAGGGCCGTAACTAGCTCAGAGCAACGAGTGGGGGGGGGGGGCGTGAAGTGTTCTCAGGGGTGCTGTAAAATTGACAGACAATGTATATCTATTTTTTTTTAAGGTCAACAATGTTTTCACGGGGGAGGGGGCGAAACGTTTTGCCCCCGCGCCTCCCCCATCCTAGTTACAGTCCTGTAGGCACTTCTTAACAGTCTTTACTGCCCCCGTAATTATAAATTGAGGCAAAGCGGGTAACAGTAAGAAAATACAAAAACAATAAAACAGGTAATTGAAAGAATTAAAAGTTTTTTACAATGCCGAAATTTGGTGGTGCCCGCTTCCTATGATGCGCGATCTCCTCCTCAAATGACGTGGAAATAAAAAGCACCGTACACATTTTGTGGTCCAGAAATCTTTTAATTCTTATTTTCAGGAGTGCCGATTCATCTTTAACTATCGAGGCACCCAAAGATTCAGATTTTACAGGTAATAGGATATGTGGAGACTGTGGCGATACTAGCCCAACCTACCTAAATGCCGCAAAAGCTAACAATTTAACTCCCGATGAATGGTCTTTCTTGAAGACAGTTCAAAACTTGGATACGGAACAGGAGTAAGTTTACATTTATATATTTTGGTTTTCTTAAACATACATTATTGAACACTATGCAAGAGCCAAATCTGCCTATTGAAGAGCTTTCTTTAGGCCTGAAATGTTATATAAATTATTAATTAGACATTTATTAACAAAACAAGATCATAATCAACTCTCGATGGCATCAGACACTCGAGATTTTAACTAGATTAAAAGGGTTCGCAATTTAATTTAAAAATGGGAAAGCGAGGCTAAGCCTCGAATACTCCAGTGCCCTGGTTACCACTATGCACAAATCTTGTCAAAACTACAAACAGTGATAACTTGGCCCAGAATGAAGTAATTTGAATGATTTTAAATAATTTCATCTTACATTATCTATTTTTGAGCTATCATAGCAAGAATGGCCAACTCTTTATTAATTAAACTCTTACACAATGTATCTTAAATTTGGCACTACACGCGAAACAAACCCGATAAGATAAACACGAGAACAGGACAAACTGTATACAGCCTGATTAAAATACAGATCTATACTTCGTTTCGTTTTTTTATGCTTTCGATGGCCTACACTACATGAAGATATGACAAGTTGTTGCGATAGGTCGCGTCAGAGGTCATACGAGCGACTTTTGACCCTATGACGTCAGACATGTGATTAACCAATCAGCATTGATGTTTCTAGTGGATTACCCACAGTTCCGTGCACCACACGCCAAAAGCTTGCTGTAACAGACTGTTTCATTGGCTAAACCCTTACATCATCAAGAACATGCCAATGATAACAACTCTTCCAGATCCTAGTGCAGTAAAGACAAGTAAAATGAAATTTTGAACTATGGAAAAAAAACAAAAACAAAAAAACGATATAGGATATGTGTTTTAATCAGATTGAACCGCGTAGACATTGTTATAAGTAAACGAATAGCAAATGTCAGTTCAACTGAATGGACCCGGGGGCCAACCGTACGTTTTCCCGGGCATGTAATAATGTTGGCGATAATCCGGATAGAATTTGGGATTAAAGATACATTATGGGAGATTAGATAAAAAGCTGACAGTCACCACTATAAAAGTTAAAAACTAGATAATGTAAAGGGAATTTGCTGAAAATTTCAATAAAAATAATCCACTCTAAACCAAGAGTTTAGCGATTGAATTTTAGGCCTAGCCTAGATCATCATTACTTAAGTCGGTACGATAAAAAAAACATAGTCTCGATTATCCAATTTTTATTTCATCACCAAAGAGCGTTCAGCAGCAGATGTCATTCCAATCCAGTAAATATTACAGGCTAGCGATGCCATCTAGAGTTGATTATGGTCTGGATAAGTTAATTAATGTCTAATTAATAATTTAGATAACATGTCAGGCCCAAAGAAAGACCTGAAATAGGCAGATTTATCTCTTGCATGTTCAATAAATAAAGTGAGAGAGAGAGAGAGAGAGAGAGAGAGAGAGAGAGAGAGAGAGATGGGGTTTAATGTACACTCGACACCAACTAGGCCATTTCGGGACTAACATATGGTTCAATTTTATTTCAATAATTCGCTTGTGCGTAGCGGTCTTTAGCAGTGGGAGGAAACAGGAGGACCCGGAGAAAACTCACTTGTCACGTATAACCGGGGAATCGAATCCACGCCAGTTGACTCAATGACAAACCTTATGATAAAGCGTGCACGTGTTAACCATTCAACCAATATTCTAGTATTGTATATTACAGTAGATATTAACCCCGGCTATTCTATGTACCAATAACAGGACGGAGGGGTTTGACAAGGACAGCTGTCTAGTCCTTCGGATGGGAACGAAACACCGAGGTCCCGTGTACACATTGGCATGCACGTAAAAGATCCCTTGACAGTTGGAATTCGATATAATAGTAGGCTGTAGTGCTGCTATCCGTCTTTATTAGCTCAGTCCGGAGCAGAACAGTAAGACGTTAAACCTCATTTCATTTCATTAGACCCAAAATGTTTAAGCACTGTGGACTAGATCCACGTCCGATTAGGGGCCAAGAAGCATAAAGTTCATCAGTTTGATAATGGACCCACCACTGTTTACATGCACTTTATAACCTTTGTCCCTTATTTTTTTTTTTTTTTTTACATTATTTTCAGAACCAATGAACAGTGTGCAGCAATTGGAAATAATTACAACCAATGTCGAGACGATTTACAAGACGAAGCTGCCGTAGTTTGTGGTCTCCCCTACAGCCATAAAGACATTGGAAAACGTTTTGTCCAAGCATACGGCGCGGACACTGCATCAGCGACACCAGCGATAACAGGGCTCGTAGCACAGTGTATCAAGGACTTCTGTGCGGGGAACAGGGATACCATCTGTAAAGTCGTCGCGGATTTAATTGAAGAAGACGACACTACTGACTTCTCCCGATTCGGGTGTTCACCTACAGAAGCAGCTCAACCACCACCTCCACCACCACCACCACCACCACCACAAGTGTAATTCGATGAGGTATTTTAAACAATCAAGTGTGTGAATATATATAAATATCTACAATACAATATTATGTTGTTGACCACTCTGTTTGTATAAGCTCATGTTTCTATTTTGCGTCATAATATCATCACCCAGAGCCGTGTTTAGGTAATTGGATAGTGTGGACCCCGGGGTGTAGACAACGTCATGTTTGGCGTGAAATCGCGGGGGATTACTGGAAAATTTGATAAAATCAGAAGCCCCGACACAATATTTCTGCTCAGTTAGGTGCATTACATATTTAGGATTAGAGCGAATCTGATAGTTCAAAATTTTGTTTTTACTTGTCATTACTATACTACGATCTGGAAGAGTTGTTATATCGCGTGAGGGATTAGCAAATGAAACCAACTGTTACGGCGACGACTTCTTGGCGTGCGATGCACGGAACTGTGGGTAAACCACTAGAAACGCCAACGCTGATTAGTTAATTATCAACTGTTAGATGTCATAAGATTAAACGCCGCTCGTATGACGTCTAGCGAGACCTGCCACTACAACCGGTCAGATCGTGATGTAGTAAAGGCCATGGATAGTATAAAATAACGAAACGAAATATAGATCTGTATATCAATCAGATTGGGATTAGATTGGAGGCGATGTCTGCATGTTCGTTTGTTCGACGGTATTCCGATGTATGTAGAAGAAATATATATGTTCTGAGCGAATATCCCCGAGTACGGACCAGGCCCGTAACTAGAGGGGGCACCCCTGAGAACACTTCTCGCCCCCCTGGTTGCTCTGAGCTAGTTACGGCCCTGATCCGGACCCCCAACCCCTTCCCCCGTGTTTTAAACACGTACCTGTCACCCCTGTCCGTCCAACAATGCGACTAATTATAATAACCACGGATATATCTTATTTTACAGTGAATTTTATTTTACCGTTTTAAATAACCATAATTAATGGCTAGATCTATTTGTTAAGGCCAGCTCAATTTTCGTCAAGGTCACTGAGATGTAAATAAGGTCAGAGCACGTGATTGTTAAGGCCAGCTCAATTTTCGTCAAGGTCGCTGAGATGTAAATAAGGTTATGACACGTGATTGTTGGCGAGATTGTAGGTTAGGGTAAGCATTGGGGCTAGGTCCAGGGTAAGCGTTAGGGCTGAGATCAACTCTAGCCCTGTTTACAGTTGAAGTTGGCCTTATCAAAAAGCTCTAATCACATAATTAAGTAACTTGTTCATACGGGGCAAAATCAGTTTATTTTTTTATGATGGCCCAGAAACTTTCTTTGTCCAAACCAACCGAATTTTACTGGCAAGCTTTCCATCTTCATGCCCAGTAAAAGGTATTTTATCCATAATATTCGAAGATTCGAGTTCTAACTGGCCGGTCACCTCTGGCTAAAGGTTGTGGTTTCGATCCCTGGTGTGAGCGTATGTTACTTGGAGATAGGGTCCGCGTTCTCAACCTCGTGAGTTTACTCCGGTTTCCTCTTACAGGAAAGACCCCTGCACGTGCGCTAAGCATAAATAAGACTACTTGTCTGCGATATCACCCTTGGTTGAAATAGACGTTAAACACTAATAGAAGGAGAATCCACCATATGCAATCTTGAATATAGCAAATCAAATTACAATGCAATAATTTAAATATTTTAAAACAGCTGTTTTGTTGAACTAGAGTCGGTCGAAAATGTGAAGCGGTGATCGGTTACTTGTGCCTGATGACGTGTGTGAAATAGCTGTATTTAACGCCCGCTTCCACCGAGGTGATATCGCAGACAAGCCTGATGACGCCGAGATCCACCCTTATATGGACAATGTTCTTTACCAGTAATTCCAAACAATACCAAGTTAGCCTTGACTCTAGGGACCTCATTCCCACAGACGCCTGTAACGTGGAAAATGTTTCAAAAATAACATAAGGACTAAGCTATTTATATAGGCCTATGACCTATAAGTCTGTTACAACCATGTGGTCTAAATCCGGGCCCTGTTTCTCGAAATTTTAACTAAAGATAAAATCCAAATTTTAGTAGATACTTCAATTTTGATTGGCTAAGCACTAAAATCAATCTAATATTATCCAATCAAATTACTAAAATTTGAATTTTATCTTAGTTAAAATTTCGTGAAACAGGCCCCAGATTTCTAATTCAAGGGCAAATATCTTGCCTGAAACCGATTCTCTTTCAGTCGAATATAATAATACCAATGCTCACTAAATGTGGCTAGGTAGACAATCTAGTCTACGATGACGTGTAAAAATTATCCACGTGACTTAAAGAGGGTCACGTGGATGATTTTAAAAAAGGCGCCTGTGCTCATGTTCTGTTATTTTCATAATAGTTTGACAAATCAATAGTGTTTTCAAAATAAACTCTTACCAAACGTTAGTATTCATTTATATAGCATAAATCACCCATTATTATTACAGTTTTTTTTCAAACCGATATTTGATATGACATTGTGGGAATGTGATCGCGCATTTTTATAGGCTGATTTTTGTCGCCTTGGAGACCTCAACTTAAACTAGAGAGCACCAAATTATGATTCTTATGACGTTACTCATTCTTCTGCCTACCATTTTATACGACAAGTACCAGGTAGTATTTTAAGGATTTTTAATTCCCTAAGAAAAAAAGGAAACACATATACAAATCACAGGGGAAATGTTTTTAATTCTATAGTGAAAATAGGAAATAAACAGGGAAAATATTTTTAATTTTATAGGAAAAATAGGAACACATAGGGAATGATTTTTAATTCCGTAAGAAAAATAGGAAATACATATGCAAATGATTTTGAATTTTATAGGAAAATGTTTTTATATCTTATTTGACAAGGCAAGCAGTGTGGTGGAGTTGTCTGTCTTGCTGCACCGGAAGTGACGTGCATGGTAGAAGAAAATGTAAAGATGGCTATAGAGGAAATGGACGACTGCGGCGTAACGCAGGTAAATATTTTTTTAGGCGTCATCTGACAATCTTCATTTTACAACTATACCTGAGAACAGGAAGTGGGTCCCAACCGCTGTTGTTCTTCTTCTTTCTTTCGACACTTACAGAAAAAAGTAAGTTATGTATAAAAAAATAAAAATAAAAAAATAGAGAGGGATGAAGAGAAATGGGGTTTGAAGTCCAGTGGACACAAACTAGGTCATTTCGGGACTGACATATGATTCAATTTTATTTCAATAATTCGCTTGCGCGTAGAGGTCTTTAGCAGTGAGAGGAACCCACGAGGTTGGACAGGCTGTCTCACTCCTTGTCACGTTCAAGCGGGAAATCGAAACCATGCCACTTGACTCAATGACAGAACTTATGATGCAACATGCACACGCTAACATTTAGCCACCCAACCCCTCTAAATCACAAGGTCTGTAATTGAGTCAACCCTGGTCAACCTCGTGGGATTTCTCAACGTGACTAATGGACGCCAATCCCCCCCCTCTCTCTCTCTCTCTCTCTCTCTCTCTCTCCCTCTCTGTCTCTCTCTCTTTATGTGTAAAATGAGCTCATTCTAAACTTGTAATACTTTGCAGGACTAAAAATGTAATTATGGCCAGTGTCAAATAACGTACAAGATGAATCACTAAAGATCTGTGGTCTTCCCTTCAGTTAGATAACGTACGAGAAGAATCATTGCAGATCTGTGGTCTTCCCTTCAGCCAGATAACGTACGAGATGAAGCATTAAACATTTGTGGTCTTCACTTCAGCCAGATAACGTTCGAGATGAAGCATTAAAGATCTCTGGTCTTCACTTCAGCCAGATAACGTACAAGATGAAGCATTGAAGATCTCTGGTCTTCACTTTAGCCAGATAACGTACAAAATGAGTCATTAAAGATCTGCGGCCTTCCCATCAGCCAGATAACGTACAAGATGAAGCATTACAGATATGTGGTCTTCCTGTCAACCAGATAACGTACGAGATGAAGCATTAAAGATCTGTGGTCTTCACTTTAGCCAGATAACGTACAAGATGAATCACTAAAGATCTGTGGTCTTCCCTTCAGTCAGATAACGTACGAGAAGAACCATTGCAGATCTGTGGTCTTCCCTTCAGTCAGATAACGTACGAGAAGAATCACTAAAGATCTGTGGTCTTCCCTTCAGCCAGATAACGTACAAGATGAATCACTAAAGATGTGTGGTCTTCACTTCAGCCAGAAACGTACGAGATGAATCACTAAAGATCTGTGGTCTTCAGTTCAGCCAGATAACGTACGAGATGAAGCATTACAGATATGTGGTCTTTCCGTCAGCCATAATGATATTGGTGAATGTTTTGTTAAGGCCTTTGGCAGAACGGAATCTCTCCAGATCTTCGCACAATGTACACCGGACCAATGCAATAAAACACTGCTGGATTTTGCGCAAAAGTCAACACTGCAGCTTAAAAATAGCACGGATCGGAACCTAGATTTCTCCATCTTTAACTGTTGACGGGCAACTTTTTAATCACTAAAATCGCTCATGCCCATTCACCGATTCTGTTTGACAAATACGTACCGATGATTCTCGTCTGCAACCTGCAAACAACGTTGTACCCTTGAAGGACGTTATGTTTCATTCGCACGCTTGACTATTGCTCATTTAGTAGAGTTTGAACCTGCAAACATATTCTAGAACACAAAAACAGCATCTCGTGAAATCGTAAACTAAAACATTTAAAGAACACAGTCTTCTCATTTGCTTAAAAAATGAAATGGGGTTTAACGTCCTACTCTTCTGCTCCGAACTGGGCTAATGAAGACGGATATACGCCATACAGTGTGCTATGAGGGAAATTTTGCCCGGACAGCGGCACTACGGCCTACTCTTATATCGAATTCCAACTGTCAAGGGACCTATTACATGCACGCCAATGTGTACACGGGACCTCGGTTTTTCGTCCCATCCGAACGACTAGACAGTTGTCCTTGTCAAGCCCTCCGTCCGCTAAGGATTTTAACAATACGAACCAATAAAAAGGCCATATACTTAAACTATTTTATCTTAAGTTTTTACGGATAATGCTCCTGACCCCGAGTTGATAAAGCACTTAAGTTAAGATTTTGCTCAAAACGGATCGTCTTATTTGCCCTTTATAAAACTTTTGTTGTTTTAATGTATCAAATACATCAATAAGAAACTATGTGCAAATGTTTTGTGTTTCTGGATCAAAGATATTTCTCATAAACAGTGATTGAAAGTTGAGTAAATTCTTAACTTAAGTGCGAGAATGTTTTGTGAACTTGGAACCTAGTTATGGAAAACAAAGCAGTTCTCTATACAGTGTTCTTAATTCTTAGTCCGAGAATGCTTTGTGAACTTGAGGCCTAGTTATGGAAGACCAAGCTCTCTATTCGGTGTTCTTAATTCATAGTCATTAATTCTTAGTTCTTAATTCATAGTCATCAATTCTTAGTTCTTAATTCATAGTCATTAATTCTTATTTCTTCATTTGTTGTCGTATTTCGACATTTGTATACTAAACTGAAAATGTGTATCCTGTAGCTGAACACTGAATAAAGAGCTGTTTAGTCTTCCATAGCTGGATCTGGACCCCCGTCGGCCATTCAAGATTTAAACCACACTAATCTTACCTCTATGGGGCATGATGATTATATTGTATATTTATCTGTTGAAATATAAACATTATTTCACATTTTTTAATATCTAGACACATTCTGCCGGGTGATTATATTATATATTTATCAGTTGAAATATAACAAATATTATTTCACATTCTGTGTTAAAATTTCTTTTAATTTAAACCTGTAGCCACTTCATTTAGAAGTCGATATTCCGACAGCTTGAAGCTCATTTATGATAATATGGTCGATGAAATATTACTAACCCGTTTGTCAAATTTTGTATTGAAGATTACAAATAAAAATTTAGATGTCAAGTGATGATGTATCAAGTAAGCGGTTCAACGTTGGACGCGATCCACGCTCAGGGGACGGTACGCGTGTCTTTCCGGTACCAATGTTTAAAGCTTTGTGGCATGGAATATTTAATTTTTGTTAATCTCTTCCAACGGTTAATTTTTTTGTTTATAGCGGCCTCACCTCAGTTTTCGAGTCTAAACCACATCCGTAGAGCATGCTCAATTTAAAACAACTTACTGGCTCGTGGCAAACTCTATAGGCCTAAGTTGCTTAAATATCATGAGGTAAACCTGCATATAGTCGCCATGACAGTGTTACATTATACACCTTTTTTTATTTCACACGAGTGTTGTTGTGGATGAAATGAAATGAAATGGGGTTTATCGTCCTACTGTTCTACTCCGGCTGGGCTGATGAAGACGGGCATACGACATACAGTGTGTTATGGGGGAAATTTTGCCCAGACAGCGGCGCTATGACCTACTCTTATATCGAATTCCATCTGCCAAGGAATCTTTACGTGCACTCCAATGTGTACACGGGACCTCGGTTTCGTACCATCCGAACGATTAGACAGCTGCTTTGTCAGGCCCTCGGTCCTTCGCCACTGACAAGGGGGAAACCACGCCGGAAAATCTCGATGAGCTTTCTCGGTCAACACCGGGAGCGAACCCGCGCCCTCCGGGCTAGCGAGCCAGCGCCATAGCCACTTAGCCACCGCGATTCCCCTTGTTGTGGATGCCGCTCGTATAGATATGCTTACATGTTCATGAACATCAGGTATCACTCTGATGTTTCCCCTATTAGACATTTTGACTGTTTCCTTTAGTATCTATTATATTTGAATCATTTATCAAAATACAAGTACCTCGGGCCATATTTATGAAATTTCTCCCATCCCAACACCGTGACAGCACCCCCCGCCCATCCCCTCATCACTGACAAAGTACCCCGGGTAGGAAAATCCCCCAAAAAACTTTATTGTCAGCCAATACCGGGATCGCACAAGAGACTTCTCCTTGTTAGCGAGCCAACCTCTTACTTACATTTAAAACAAGATAGGTCTGGTGGAGCTGGACTACTACTTCTGGTTCCGGTCACAACCCGTGCGCCATATTACTACTCTAAGGAATCATCAGGTCCCAGACTAGCAATTATTCGCCCATTGATTTCAATGTTAAATGGCTGTAACATCACAGGCTGTAGCTTTTGCTCAACATTCAGTTGGTTCTAATCTTTATAGGCACAATGGGGATCACATTTGGCAATCTCCTCCTCATAATTTTGTAGGGGGGTGAGCGTTTAGATTTTTTGCTACGAGGATTTGATGTTGACTGGGGGGGAAATCTCACTTCCGATACAATGATTGCTCTGCAGAAAGACACTTTACACCCCCTATCCATCCGCTGTAATATCATCTGTATTATACCCAAAACTACTGTGAAATTGCAAATTTGATCCCTTTTCACCAATTCTAGACCAAAAAGTCAACCCAAAAATGCAGGAAGCGGAGAGAAAAAAAATTAAGGGAAAAATTGTCTGTTTATAACTCGCACTCCCCATCATGAAATAAGGGGAAATAATTACTAGTCTGAATCCATAAATTAAAGTCATAACATTTGAAGAGCAAACCATTTTTTTGTTTTAGCGCGCCTGCCTCTTACCCACTTAGCACTTACATTTCGAACAGGAGTATCGATTTAACAATAAACCAAGACACAAACAAATCAATTGGTATGTTTGTATATTGTATATAAATCTATGGCGTGGCATTTGTGATCATTGTGTAGATTATATTACCGGCTGTCAAATATCACAAATTGATGAAGCGCATTAAAAACCCATTAAAACTTTTACAATAAACGTTCTATAAATCACTTTAAGCACCTGTCTAAAGTTTTCTATTAGTCACGTTTTATAACGTTTAAACGGTGCAAATTAAAGCCCTACTCACACTATCCAGCATTTGTCGGGGCAGAACCGGACCCTAAGTTCACAAAACATTCTCAGGCTTAAGTTAAGAATTTACTCAACTTTCAATCACTGTTTATGAAAAACATCTTTGATCCAGAAACACAGAACTTTGCACATAGTTTCTTATTGATGTATTTGATACATTAAAACAACAAAAGTTGTTAAAATAAGAGTAAATTCTTAAATTAACTTAAGTCTGAGAATGCTTTGTGAACTCAGTGCCAGAAAGCGCCAGAACATCGTATATATTGCTGTGTAGATATTTAGTGGAATGAAAATGGTTTTGACGTTTTACTGGCAGAGGTTTTGCCCTAACACCGCTGCTACGAGTTATTCCAATTTAGATTCTCAACAATACTGCATATTCAGTCCCTCCGTCCTGCCCCACTGACAAGGGAACATTGGTTCCGTCCTGCACCACAGACAATGGGAAATCGTTCCCTCCGCCCTGCACCACAGGAAATCGGTTCCTCTGTAATGCACCACAGACAAGAGGAAATCGTGTAAGAACATCTCTGGACCGCCTGGGTAGCGAGCTAACACCATATTCCAGAAGGCAACATGGCTCCCAAATCTGTTATTGTGAACGTGTCCAACACACCTAATTCGTAGTATGCTTTGAACTTAAGGATTTCAAATTTTCTCAAATAAAGGAAACACGTATATTAGATGACAGACTTTATATCGAGTAAACTTGAAGACAATATTTACAGTATATATCAACAACAACAAAACAAAAACAAAAACAAAAAAAAACAAAAACTACGCAGTTTACAAAGCCATTTCAACATGTAAATAATTAAGGTGTTAGATCTATTTTTAGTCGGGGATGGGGTGGGTTGAGAGACCGATTCCTCACGGAAAATGAATCAATAATCGGGGTGTGGGATCCGATTTACATATCCCTACGCCTACCTCTAATCATTGCTGTGTTTTAAAGCCAAGCTCACACTGTCCAGATTTATTTTCTGAGACTCAATTCAATATACACTGCTTTAGGTTAAAATTTACCTAGCTTAAACATACATTATGCAAGAGCAAAATCTGCTTATTAAAGTCTGTCTTTAGGCCTGAAATGTTATCTAAATTATCAATTAGACATTAATTAACTTATCCAGACCATAATCATCTCTAGATGTCAAGGCTAGCCTTCGATGTTGGCTGGATTAGATTCCTATATGCCACTAACGGCCATTGATAATTAAATAAAAAAAAGTGGATAATCGAGACTATGCCGTTTATATTAATGATTTTAGTAATGATGACCGAGACTATGCAAAAATTTCACTCGCTTCTTTCTCGGCTCCTAGTGGATCAATTTGACAGAAATTTTCAGCAAATTACCTTTACACTATCTAGTTTTTAACTATTATAGTGAGAACTGTCAGCTTTTTATCTAATCTCCCATAATGTATCTTTAATCCCAAATTCTATCCGGATTATCGCCAACATTATTACATGCCCGGGAAAACGTACGGTTAGCCCCCGGGTCCATTCAGTTGAACTGACATTTGCTATTCGTTTACTTATAACAACTGCCATCTCTTTATCTTATCTCCCATAATGTATCTTTAATTAAACCATATAATTCTTCTATAGAAAAACTGTAGCTTAATCACGTGATAAATAGTGGATTGGGCACTATTGATCACGTGCTTTAACTACCTGAATCCATTGGATGAGCCATATTTGGTGAGTAATGCCTTTAAACAGGGGAGAATGGACAGGAATTGCGCTTTAAAAACTGAAATGATACTCGAAACGTATGTACTTATGTCTAAATAATAGTTTAACATTGTTTTACAGTAATTTCGTTAATAAATCTTTTTATTGTCACTATATGGACAGGTAATTACTTCATGTACAGTGAGAGAAATATAGTTTGTAAGTTAAGCCGGATTTATGTCACCTTGCGACAATACAAAATTATGGGAAACCAGTAAAACCTGCTTGCTCATGTCGTCTTCGATCTTCGATTAGGTAGACATCGATCGATAAAACAGGATGGCCATGATCATGATCGTTATTAGATTCACGGGCTAGATCTATTTGTTAAAGCCAACTCAAGATTTCGTCAAGGTCGCTGAGATGTAAATAAGGTTAGCACACGTGACTGTTAGAGAGATTGTAGGTTAGGTTTAAGAATTTGGGGGAGAGGTTGAGTCTAGCGTTAGGGCTAGTTCCGAGGTTAGGGTTTGGATTGGCGCTAGTCCTGTTTACATCTAGTGACCTTTGACTTAACTTTAAGTTGGCCTTATAAAATAGATCTAACCTAGACTCAGGTCAACAGGATGGTCAACAGCGGCCATGATGGGTTTCAAATCACGCGGTAGTATCACGTGATTTGCCTTTACAGCCACGGATGATCTCATTTCACCAGAGACTGGATAAAAACTGTCCGCACATATGAAACATACGAGGCGCATTGGAGACGGACAAAAGGTAGTTGTTCCGAATGATCATTTGTTTTTCTTGGTCCTCCTCAATGGGAGATAACCCATTTAAATCTAGCTTTAGATGTCGCTCCAGTCACCCGGGTTGTTCCAACTGATCAGTCTCAGACTGCCCAGTTAAAATTAGTTTTTGATCGTCGCAAGAGCGACATGAACCCGGCTTTAGATACAAGATACGAACTAAAAGTGAAAGTAGTATGTCATCTATAAGACGTTATATATACCCAAGATGTCCTTAATTATTTGCATTGACTCTCAATAATTGAGAAGTCTACCTTCTTATTAGAACAACCAGATTTAGCTGTTGCCCCTGCAGCACACCAATCGCTTGTTTTACCGGCAGTAAAGTCTGTCAAACAAGCCACAGTTTTCTGTAATATATTCGGTTTTCCAAAAGCCTCAGTGAAACACGAACCAATATCGTTATGACTGAAAGGAGCTCCGCAGAATTTCAATCCGGCCGCTTGTTTGTCTTCTGGGGTGGCTTTTACAGCTGCGTCGAAATCAATACAGACTTGTCTGTCCCTGGAAAATAAACATATAAAACTCTGGAATGTATGGTCGAGCTGAATACGACAGAAAACAGTCCAATTTTTAGGCACATGTTATACTTCTGAGCCCACCCATGGCCAAAGCCGCAATGGCCTACAGATTAATGCGTCACTGGTAAATGTGGTTGTTATTTAGGTCAGAGATTATTGTCATTAACATCAGATACCGTTGTTAACGCCAGAGATTATTGTTATTAACGTCAGATATTATTGTTATTAACGTCAGAGATTATTGTTATTAACGTAACAGATCATTGTTACTAACGTCACAGAGCATTGTTATAACCGCCAGAGATTGTTGTTATTAACCCAAGGGAGCATTGTTATTAACGCCATAGATCAATATTGTTATTAACATCAGATATTATTGTTACTAACGTCACAGAACATTGTTGTTAACGTCAGAGATCATTGTTACTAACGTCACAGAACATTGTTGTTAACGTCAGAGATCATTGTTACTAACGTCACAGAACATTGTTGTTAACGTCAGAGATCATTGTTACTAACGTCAGAGATGCATATTATTAACACCACAGATCATTGTTACTAACGTAACAGATCATTGTTGTTAATGTCAGAGATATTGTTACTAACGTCATTGTCGTTGACGTTATAGATCATTGTTTTTGACGTCAGAGGTCACTGTTGTAGGCGTCATAGACTCCGTGACAATACCTCCGTGAAGACTTATCATTTGAAAAGCAAACTCACTCATTCTTGGTGTCCAAATTAAATGCTTGTTTGTAGAAAGACCATTCTTTTTTGGTTAAGTCCATTGCTGAAGCCTCCTTTTCATATTGCCCCGGACCATCACTGCACTGTCCGCATAGCCTCTCTTTTACAAATGTAGAGCCCTTTGGCGTCTGGATAGTGATGGACGAATCGGCACTCCTACAAAAATACAACAAACCTGTTCAGTTATGCGAAAGGCAGTGACTGGCAGTAATTGAATGGGATATGCAAATCGATTAGCCATATTCGGTATCTCGTAAAAATGCGTAAGAGTTCTTTTTGAACATAAGCGACAATCGGCACGGTCAACCTTCTTTGCATTTTGCAACAGTAATCGCATTTGTTGCTACTGTCGTTACTGCTATTAGTTGTACCTTGATCATCATTTAACGTCTGCTTCCCAAAAAACAATATCGCAGAATATTCCAGAATAAAAGGCCAAATAATCGAGACTAAAGGTCATAGGCATAGGGGGCCAATCTCAGTTTGTTGGGGGGTGGGGCAGGGTGTGACTATTTGCCCTAAAAGTGTTCTTGGCATGAGGTCTTAAGTATTATAATATTCAAACCGTGAGCGATTTCATTTTACAATTATACAATTATATTTCTATAGTATATGGTCCCATTCTCTGATTCATCGGGATTTTCCAACGTGGTTACCCCTTGTCAACGGGGGTGGGGGCTGGCAAGGGACAACGAGTAGTCGGTCGTTCGGATGGAACACAAAACCGAGTAAACATTAGCCCAGTTGGAGCAGAACAGTAGGACGCTAAACCCCATTTCATTTCATTTCATTTAAACCACTGATGTGCACGTAAAAGAACACGTGAAATAAGAGTAGACCGAAGCGCCGCTGTCCGGGCAAAATTCCCTCATAGCACACTGTATGGCGTATGCCCGTCTTCATTAGCCCAGTCGGACATTAAACCCTCATTCATTTCATTTAATTTTTCCGAGTTATTAGTCGATATAGATTTTAAAAAAAGTATATTGGTACAAAAATTATTCGTACAAAACCGACGGCAAATGAAAAGGATACAATCGTGTATTAACACGTACCTGTATCGTATAGCAACAGCATGCCTGGGCAGTTCCAATCGCCAGTAATGGGATTCGAATTCTCCATAAACCGTTAAACCAAAATCAGGGAAATTATCAGCTACTGGTAAAGGTACCTTCAATCCTTTATTCTGAAATCGTAAAATAAAAAGTGATTTTAAAAAAAAAAAAACAAACAAAAAAACAAAAAACAAAAAAAAAACCCAAAACGCGGGAATCCGTATAATCTATAATTTTGAATCACTTGCAAACTACAATATCGTGAAAGTTTAATCTCAGTCCATAATTGTTCAAGTTAAAGATTCCACAAACATGCTCCTAAAATGTTTGCTGCTTATAGTCTTTGAACAAGCATGTTACTTACCCAGTGTCAGTCCAACAAAACAAAAAAGAAAGAAAAGAAAACAAGTGTTAGTCAAAAAGTAATACAGTGTCTCCCCACTGTAAGTCCAAAAGTAACCCTCCCACTGTCAGACCAAGAGGAGTAACCCTCCCACTGTCAGCCCAAGAGTAACCGAGCTTCTCTCTCACTATCAGTGAAAAAGTTAATATCACTAAAATAAGGTATCATAACTTTAATCTGAGAGAGAGAGAGACAGAGAGAGAGAGAGAGAGAGAGAGAGAGAGAGAGAAATGAAATGCAATGAGGTTTAACGTCCTACTGTTCTGCTCCTATACTGGGCTAATGAAGACGGGCATACGCCATACAGTGTGCTATGAGGGATCTTTTACGTGCATTCCAATGTATACACGGGACCTCGGTTTTTCGTATCACCCGAAGGACTAGACAGCTGTCCTTGTCAGGCCCTCCGTTCTGCACCACTGACAAGGAGAAACCACGTCGGAAAATCAGGATGAACTGAGAGAGAGAGAGGGAGTGAGAGAGGGAGAGAGAGAGAGGGGGGTGTTAACGTCCACTCGACATTAATTTCGGGACTAATATGGTTCAATTTTATTTCAATAATTCTCTTAAGCGTAAGGGTCTTTAGCAGTGGGGGGGACCAGAGGACCCTGGGAAAACCCACGAGGTTGAACAGGCGACCCTATTCCTTGTCACGTACAACCGGGAAATCGAAACCACGCCAGTTGACTCAATGACAGACCTAATGATACAACGCGCACGCACTATCCATTCGCCACCCCCCCCCCCCCCCGCCGATTAGAATGTGATATTAAGCATTCAACCGAGCACCAGGCTGCACCCAAATCCCCAAAAAGCAGATGTTCATGCGTATACTTGTTGGCGCGCACGTAATAACCATTGAAGAACAGGCGAAAATGCCGCTGCCCGGGCAGATTTCCCCCTCATAACCCACTTTATGACGTATTCGACTCTTCAATGACCCGGTTGGTGCCGGAAAGTGAGATAGATGTTAAATCATTTCATTTCATTTTTTTTACGACCATAAGATAGGTGCCGTGAACAGGCAGGGCATGTTTATCCGTTCAAGAACATTCGATACCACCTGGAAATTTCACACAGCCAACAAATTTTGTTGCATTCACTCACATCACTGATAAAACTTACATAGAATCCGGAACGGCGAATATCAGCATGAGCCGTTGTCTTGCCCTTTGATGCCCTAAAGAAGACTTCATCCTCCATTACGAATCCTGGATAATCCTTGTCATCTCTATTGCCACCAGTAGCTGCTACTTTAACATAGACACCGGAAGGCGTTGTGAATTCAGTCAGGATATGACGACACGGGATAGGTGCTGCCATCACACTACCGGAGAAAGCCGTGATGTAAGGGTCGCCAAACAGATAACAGAGACACGTACTACCTAATGAATGAATGGATAAATGACTGAATGAATGAATGAATGACGTCTTCCAATCAAATAATTCGCCAGCGGTTAAAACTAATCGGTTTCGATTACCTATCTCGTTTTGTACATGACGTAGCTCTTGAGGTGGTATTCGAATTGGTTCTCGTAAACGCGACGAATTGCCTCACAAGATCAGTTGACTGCCCTGTATTCGTGTTAGAAATGTCCATAATATGTATATTTCAACGTGAAATTCAAAATACACAAAAAAATAACGTCAGGCACATCGGTCTTCAAAGGGATGCCATCTTGAAAATCGAAACGTCAATCTGGCAGGCGAGCAAGTTTGAGATTTGCGTAATCGATTTGGTAAATCGTCGCGGTAAATAAAACATTTAAAAATGAAACCGATTAGGCTAATTTTTGCCGTAAACGTGATTGAATGGGATTTGCAAATCGATTATCCATCTTCACGCAGTGTAGCCCATCGAAAATATCTATATTCTTTTAAAAAACAACTTAAAACACATTTATTTAATCAGGCTTTTAACTGACTCTGTATACAATCGTTAACATGTCCATAATCTTGTTGTTTATTTATGATTACATTGTCACTTTGTAAAGTGCCTCTGAACATGTTATATGAAAGGGTGCACTATAAATATGCTGTAATAATAATAATAATAATAAAAAATATATAAAAAACGAAAGGAAATATAGATCTGTATTATAATCAGACTGATGTAACCTATACTTACTACGTTCCACGCAGGCGAATCTTCCGTTTCCCCAAAGACCATCTCTACAACGACAATAGTTGTACTGTGGGAAACACTGGATATCTTCGTCGTCCAAGCACACAACACCACCACACTTCTTCCCTGGAAGTACAAAACAAAACAAAACCCATGAGAGCATAATGCGGATTAAATCTAAGGGGCTCGCAAATTAAGTCTAACACAAAAAAAAAGAAATTATAATTTTATGATTTTATATATGGTTATGTCAATTGAATCTATCTATCTAACATAATGACATACAAATCGGACGGACAATGGCCAGAATATACCCCCTTTTCACTGTTGTTGCAAGGCCCGATGACTTTTTCAACCAGGGGTTCCATGCAAGTTTAATTCAGCCCTGATGATATTGGACATTACTATATTCCATTCAGTTCTAACGGGGTACGTGAACATTCGACTCAGTTTTCACCGAGTTTAACATGTACTCAACACAAACTTGGTCATTTTGAAACAAACATGGCATATCTTTATTTCTGCGAGTAGGGGTCTTTAGCACTAGAATGAAACCGGGGGTCTGGAGAAAACCCATGAGTTTAGACAGGCTACCCTACTGGTTAACACGTGCGCGCTTTATCATAAGGCCTGTCATTGAGTTAACTGGCGTGGTTCCGAATCCCCGGTTGCACGTGACGACAAGGAGTAAGGTTGCCTGTCCAACCTTGTGGGTTTTCTCCGGGTCCTCCCACTGCTAAACCCTTTTGATTCAATGACTAATACACACAAAACAAAAATCTGCAAGATAAAACTGCGGACAAGACAGAATATAGACATTGCAAAAAAATAAACAAATATCAAATCAAGTGAATGGATCCGGAGCAAGCCATAAGCGTCCACTGTGCTGTAAAGTCCCGGGCCTGTGGTGGTACAGGCTTCACTCAAAAAAAAAATAAAATAAAGAATAAAAATTATGACGTAACAGAAACAGAAATAATGCTAGTCTTTTGTCATCGATCATCACTTTTTAGGGAAAATTAAATTTCTTTAAATTGACTTATGAATCAAAATTTAAAATATTTCAAATCAGTGTATAAAAAAACTGTTATTTAATCAGCTTTCAAATAATATTGAATATTATCAACATGAGGAAGATATCGGAGTCACGATGGCTCAATGAATTGGCGACCATCCACTAACCAGAAAAACCCTGGATTTGTTACCGGTGCTGTCTGAGAAATTTCTTCGCGCTGTTCACCGAGAGAGAGAGAGAGAGAGAGAGTATTTAACTTCCATTAGACACAAACTAGGTCATTTCGGGACTAACATATGGTTCAATTTTATTTCAATAATTCGCTTGCGCGTAGGGGTCTTTAGCAGTGGGAGGAAACCGGAGGACCCGGAGAAAACCCCACGAGGTTGGACAGGCGACCCTTCTCCTTGTCACGTACACCCAGGGAATTAAAACCACGCCAGTTGACTCAATGACAGGCCTTATGCTACAGCACGCATACCATTCGGCCATCCAACTCCCCTGCCAGTGGTGCGGACGCGACAAGGAACAGGCTTTCGGTAGTTCGAATTGGACAAAAACCGAGGTCACGTGTATACCATCACTGGTATGTTAAAAATCCCCCTGCTATCCAAATAAGAATAAACCGCAGTGCGGCTGTCCGAGCAAAATTGCCCCTCATAGCACACTGCATAACCCCAAACTGATTAAAACACAGATCCTATTTCGTTTCGTTTTTTATTGTTCAAAATTTCGTTTAACTTGTCTTTACTACACTAGGATCTGAACGAGTTGTTATATAACCCACGATCTGATTGATGTGAGGGATTAGCCAATGAAACGGTCTGTTACGGCGAGTTCTTGGCGTGCGTTGCACGGCACTGTCCGTATCCCAGTAGAAACATCAACACTAATTAGTTAATAAAAAGTCTGACGTCATAGGGTCAAAAGCCGCTCGTATCACCCGTGACGCGACTGGCCAGATCTTCATGTAGTGTGGGCCATCGAAAGTATAAGAAACGAAACGAAATATAGATCTGTATTTTAATCGGATTGGTATAACATATGCTATTATTCTTGTGATTGGTTGGTACAGATATATTCAGCATGTAATCCGTTAGAAAAAATATATTTTCCTAATAAATAAGATAATAATCCAAACTGTAAACAGCCGCCATAATCGCGCGAGCATCCTCTGAAAACAGACGCCATAATCGCGTGATCATCCCATGAAAACAAACGCCATAGCTACAGGGGCGTTATTTGAAGATTTGGCTACACAATGCTCGGACCTACCTGGGATATACCCAGCTAAAGCCAGTGGAAGAAAACACAAGAACAGCACCAACATTTTTCCCCAATCAAATGCCTATAAATCGAGCCCCGGGGTTGGTTTTATAGCCCTAGGTCAACATTATAATACAATGAACCACCTTTTATAAATTATACGTCATAATTGCCTTTTATTTTGATACTTTATAATTTCTATTATATTTGAAGAAATCTATATCTAGTCATTGTTTAGTATTGTTCCAAACGACTTAGTATTATTGTATAACAAACGTTGAGCAAGCGTCATTAACCTATATAGCGCTAATGGCCCTTTACGTGTTTCGATCATACCATTGTAGTCTGAACAAAAAGCTTGAATACGAAAGTATGACAGAAAAAGTTGGATATTTGAATTCCGCTATTAAGTAAGGCCAACTTCAAGTTTTGTCAAAGGTCACAAGATGTAACCCTAATATTAACCCTGGACCTAGCCCCAATGCTTACCCTAAACCTAACCTGCAACCTCGCCAACAATAACGTGCTCTGACCTTATTTACATCTCAGTGACCTTGACGAAAATTGATCTGGCCTTAACAATTACGAGCTCTGACATTCACATCTCAGTGACCATGACGAAAATTGAGCTGGCCTTAACAAATAGATTTAGCCATTAAGGAAGAGGTACGGGCTTCAGTAACCCTGTTGAAAAGTAGGAAGTTAAACTTCCATTTCATTTCATTTCAGTTGTTCAAGAAATGGCCGGCGTAGTTCTCCCTTGTCAGTGATGCAGGACGGAGGGCCTGACATGGATATTTGTCTAGTCGTTTCGATGGTACGAAATACCGAGGTACCGTGTACACATTGGCATGCACATAAAAGATCCCTTAACAGTTGGAATTCGATATAAGAGTAGTGCTGTTTTCCGGGCAAAATGTCCCTCATAGCACACTGTATGGCGTTTGCCCGTCTTCATTAGCCCAGTTTAGGAGCAGAACAGTAAGACGTTAAACCCCATACCACTTCTTTTCAAGAAATGGAGTTTAGCCATCCTTGGTACCCCCATTAGTGGTCTCATTCTGTTCTAGGTATGCTAAATCAAGTTTGTATATCTCAACATTTCATTGGTCAGTGGCGTAAATTTGGGAAAAATTGGAGCTGGGCCAAGAGACCTGGGGTCTGCTTCACGAAATTTTAACTAAGATAAAATCCAAATTTTAGTAATTTGATTGGATAATATTAGATTGATTTTAGTGCTAAGCCAATCAAAATTGAAGTATCTACTAAAAATTGGATTTTATTTTTAGATAAAAGTTCGTGAAACGGGACCCAGATCCAGAATTAACACTGAAGGAAATTGATGACGGGTTACCTCAGTTTCGTTGGTGTCTATTTCAGAATCAAATCAATTCATAATAATTTCTTTTCACATCGACTTTAATGTTAAAGTAGCTAAGTCTCTAACTCAATATCACCCAAAGGGCGTTCGCAATTAAAGTAGCCAAGTCTCTAACTCATTATCATCCAAAGTCTTTGACATTGAAAACACAAATTATTTGTTAGTTTAAATCAACATTGATGTTGTGATCTTACTTGGAAAAGATGGGTTTCTGATATCCAGTATTTAAGACAAAATAAACGTTTTACGATTGGTACACGATTACACGAATCATGTACCATAATGCGTTTCAGCGCCATTTGTAACAAGGGACTCGAAGAACGAGGCTAGACATATTCCACAAGTCATGTCAAACGGTGACGTTATATTCTTATCTGGAGAGCATGCGCAATAAATACGATCGGTGTAGACTGGAATAACCAGACGCTAGAGATTGCCATTCGATTGAGACTTCTGGCGTATCTCGCCGAACGTAACTGATTTAAAATTAGGGTAAAAACGGAAACAATTTAATGTAAATCAGTTTATATATATTCATATTACATTATTATTTGTGTCAATTTCTAGATCCCAAATATTAGCGATTCAGCAATGACATTTTTTTCAACATTCCGATGATTTTAATCGTTTTAATCCCAAATAGCCCAGCCAGAAACAATTATCATCTGATCAGGTCCGTAGTCAGCTTGCTAGCTTCGGAGGGGCAGGGAGGTTTTTAGGGGGGGGGGGCACACCCGGTACAGTCTACAGTAGGTATTTTAGGGTTATGGTCGGCAAATTTTTTTTCGGGGGGGGGGGGGGCATTGCCCCACTTGCCCCCCTCTGGCTACGGGCCTGCATCTGATACAAATATTAAAGGGGTTGACACTCAATTTTTTTTCTAGGTCAATTTTAAGGAATATCCAAAAGCTGTGACATCATTGTTATATAGGTCTTAAATTTATTTTCAGATTTTTCTTGCGAGAAAACTAAGACGTGGTGCTGGTTTAAGAAAAGAACAATATTGATATATATACTCATAGCAGCTGTTGCCATATGTAGGTAAAGTTAACCATTTTAATATACAGGCACAAAGCTTTCAACATGATCTGTATTGAACTGTTACATACACTAATCAATACGGATCTTTCTTTAGAGGTCATACAATATACTTGGAAAAATACAAAATGAAATGAAATAGGGTTTAACGTCCTACTGTTCTGCTCCTATGCTGGGCTAATGAACACGGGCATACGCCGTACAGTGTGCTATGAGGGGAATTTTGCCCGGGCAGCGGCGCTATGGCCTATTATTATATCGAATTCCAACTACCAAGGGATCTTTTACGTGCACGCCAATATGTACACGGGACCTCGGTTTTTCGTCCCATCCAAACGCCCTCCGTCCTGCATCACTGACAAGGGGAAACCACGCCGGGATGAACTTTCTCGGCCAATGCAGGGATCGAACAACCGACCTCCAGGCTAGCAAGCCAGCGTCTTACCCACTTAGCCACGTGATCCCCCTGCAAAAATACAAAGGGAGTTATGTGGCCATATACAATCTAAAGTAATATTGTTAAAGATATTTTGGCCGAAAAACCTTGCATTATCCTTTAAAATTATTTTCTCGTGTACAAACTGTGTGATTTGATGATATATTTGGACTAAAAACATTATGTTCAAACTAATTCATCTATCAAAAGATCCCTAATGCGAGGTTCCCACTGTCGTGCGATGCGGTACTATAGGGTTGAAGCTACGATCTGGTACGTGTAGATACGTTCGGATACGTTTCGATACGACCTATACGCGATTGCTACGACTGACCTGATAGGATCACCATGATTACTCCACGATTAAAACTGTGATAGTGGGAACCTAGCATTAAAGCATTTTAATCACAAGAAAATTACCCCAGTTGTATGCAGAGCTTTGGTTGTGCCAGAGGCCAACTTCTTTATTGCATCCCCTTCGCCCTAGACTAAAAAGATCCCCTAATTATGTGAGAAAATTAACCTATTTAGGAGCCCAAAGCTTGTTTCTTCTCAGTCCACCCTGGTGCTCCCTCTCAGTCCACCCCTGCCGTTCCTTCTCAGTCTACCCTCGATGCTCTTTCTCAGTCCACCCCTGCTCGTTCTTAGCCCACTTCTCAGTCCACCCTGGTGCTCCCTCTCAGTCCACCCGTGGCGTTCCTTCTCAGTCTACCCCCGATGCTCTTTCTCAGTCCACCCCTGACGTTCTTTCTCAGTCCACTTCTCAGTCCACCCCTGGCACTCCTTCTCAGTCCACCCGTGGCGTTCCTTCTCAGTCCACCCCTGGTGCCCCTTCTCAATCCACCCCTGGTGCCCGCCAATGTGTACACGCGGCATTATACTTACTCAGCTTTTGTAAAGAATATCTGACATGACATTAATATGATTTATTGTAATGATCAGATACCATCTGGCCACCACGGATATAGGTCAAATATTTTACTCATTGGCGAAAAAAATGGGCAATTGAACCCGAAATGACCTAGTTTCTCTTTTTCATTTATCTTGGGCGTGCGGGTTGTAACATTAGGTCTGTCATTTAGTAACTGGCGTGGTTTCGAATCCTCGGTTGTACGTGACAAGGAGTAGGGTCGCCTGTCCAACCTCATGGGTTTTCTCCGGGTCATCCGGTTTCCTCCCACTGCTAAAGATCCCTACGCGCAAACGAATTATTGAAATAAAATTGAACCATATGTTAGTCCCGAAATGACTTAGTTTGTATCGAGTGGACGTTAAACCCCATTTCTCTCTCTCTTTTAAATTGTGGTCAGAAATGGATATTAATTGACTGACACCCTGAAACAAATGTTCATCGGATCATGTACATGGCCCATACAAAAACCTAAAAAAAAACGGGTGTTGGCTTTAACTCAATTTCACCTCTTGTCAAAAACGTGACGAAATGTTACAAAGAATTATAGAATTTGTAAAAATAGTCAAACAAAGTTGAAGAGAGAGAGAAAGAGAGAGAGAGAGAGAGAGAGAGGGGGGTTTAACGTCCACTCAACACAAACTAGGTCATTTCGGGACTAACATATGGTTTAATTTTATTTCAATAATTCGCGTGCACGTAAGGGGTCTTTAGCAGTGGGAGGAAACTGGAGGACCCGGAGAAAATCCACGAGGTTGGACAGGCGACCCTACTCCTTGTCATATACAACTGGGGAATCGAAACCACACCAGTTGACTCAATGGCAGACCTTATGATACAACGCGCACGCGCTAACCATTCGCCCCCCCCCCCCTAAGTTGAATAACTCAGAGGCGGAGGGTGGGATGTGGGATGGGGGATTACTAAATAACAGTATTCAAAATCTCTTATTCATTTTTTTCTATCTTTTGTTGGTTGGAGTGATACAGGTCCAGGAAAACCCTACAAATGACAGTTGACACCCGCAATTCTCTAAATAATATTGGAGGAGAGGACCTCCTCCCTCGGACCCCCCTAACGAAGTATATCCTGCGTACGCCAGGGGAATAACTTTTGTGGAACTCGACTCCGTCTTGTTGGCCAAACAAATGTGTAGAATGCATTTAGCGGATAAATACTTTAATGTTTTCAGATTTAAAGAAAATATATGGAAGTGTGGGGTCCATGATTATACGTATTGATGACACAAAACATCACAGCTTACATCCCCGTCAACTTCATCCCTGTCTAGTTGAGACGGACATAACAGAAAAACTTATCTTTTAAAGTCTCGCGGTAACCAAGCAACCAGTCTCAGCTTACAATTCCTCGTGT